CTTAGAGCTGAAGGGGCCACATTCCGAAGCTTCAACCTTATCTAGTTAAGTAGAAGTAAATGTTGGAATTGATTAGCCTCATGTCTGAAGCGATTTCTTACTCCACACTTGTACTAGAGCAATCTTCTCTCTTGTCCTAATCTTAATACAGTTAGATTTATAGTGAAAAATCATTTGTGCCTTCAAAATTCCCCTCTTTCATTTTTTTAAGCAATGCTTTCCTTTTGTTATGTTATCCTATCTCAGGATACACAGAATTTGAAGAGCCGGGTCCAAAAGCAACAAGTCTTTGAAGAGGAGTTGGCAGCTAATGAGATCCTCCTCAATAATCTCGAAAAAACCGGGCAGGAGATGATGGCGCATGATCACTATGCCTCTAAAAACGTGGCGGACCGTCTGAGCGAAGTTGCTGACCTCTGGAAGGAATTGTTGGAGGCAACAGCGCAGAAAGGTTAGAAGCAGAGGTTTTGGTGAAAAGTCAATTAGAAATTCTGAAACACAGCATTTTTATGTTTACCACCATGAATTTACCTGCTGACTTTTTCAAGAAGGGATGCCACCTGCTTGCTGTCCCTCTGAGTCTTCATCCTTCTTGGCCAAGCAGTTCTAAAAGTCCAATATGAATTCATCACATGACAATTTAATACTAGTTTTATGTTTACAGATGTAGAGCTTCAAAAACTGAAGTTACTTTGAGTTCTTCTACTTTTTGTATCCCATAAATATTCAGGACCCATACATCACTATTGGTTATATATCTATAAAAATGCATTTAAATTAGACTATTAATGTAAACCAGTTAAGATGTCAATAGACCACAGCATATGGACAATACAGCCTAAAATCTGTAGTCTAAAATCTATACTAGAGTTAGGATTATTACATTAGACATAAAGAGATTATTAGTGACATGTGGGCTAGAAATAATGAGAGCCAGACCATTTTCCACAATGGCTGCTGGACCATTTTACAATCCCACTAGCAACTGATGAGAGTCCCTGCTCTCCATACTCTTGTCAGCCAATATTTGTTGTTTTCTAGTTTGTGGACATTTCTCTTAATTCTGGGGTGAAATGATATCTCATTGTGGTTTTCACTTGCAATGGCTACTGGTTACTAGCATTTCTTAGAGTGTTTATTGGCTCTCTGAATGTCTCCTTTGGTCAAGTGTCTGTTCCTGTTTCCCATGTTTTCATTGGGCTGTGTGTGTTTTTGTGGTTGAGATGGTCCAGGCTTTTTCAAATGCATTTTAGAGATGACTCCTTTGTCAGATCTGTCATTGTCAAAGCATGCTTCCCCCATCTGTTGGGTCTCTTTATTCCTTTGGAAAAATATTTTGATGTGTGTGTTCAATTTTTAGATGGCCCCAGGCATAAAGTTATCTTTTGTTTCTCTTGAATATTTAGTTTTATCTTATATTGTTTTACATCATATATTTGGGACCATGCCTTTCCCCCTCAGGAATCCTGGAGGCACAGTGGGCTAACCATTGCTTACTGCCAGGTCAGCTGCTCAAATCCCCACATGTGCCATAGGGGAAATCTGAAGCTGTCGGCTTCTGTAAAGACTTCTAGCGTCTGAAACCCTATGCATCAGTTCTGCTTCATTCTATAGGGTCACTATGAGTCAAAAGTGGCTTTATAGCAATGGGTTTTAAAGTCCCCCTAAGTTTTCTTGGATTTTCCATTTTGAGTTCCTTTTATTATTGATTATTATTAAATGTGAAATATATGGATCCTGTCTCATTTTTCTGAAAATCAATACCCAATTTTGCCAATAATGTCTGTCAAAAAGGTGGTCACTTCCCTATTCAATGCATTTTGGTCCTTGTCAAGTACTAGCTACCCCTAAGTGAATGGAATTATTTCTAGATATACAATCATATTCTATTGGGCTATGTGCCTGTCACTGCACTAGGGCCATACTGTTATGACTAATGGTTGTCTAATAGGTTTTGCAATCAGGAAGTATATGGCCCCCAAGTCTGTTCCCTTTTAGTTTTTGTGGTGATATTGTGCAACCTACCTCTTACTTTGTAACATTGATCAACTGTCAGTAATTAAAGCAAGTAATAACTGCTTATTCTCTTTGTTCTGAAAGTCAGTCGTAGATAAAACTGTGCTTTGCTTACCGAAGAGTGATAATATACCTATTGGCTTTAATAGCATCCCGAGTTTGGGATAGGGTGAGGGGAAGAAAAGATTTCACTGCAACAACAGAGGCTTCTGCTGCTACTCCCCAAACCCTCGCCACCCACAGATACAGGCATTGCTATGTGGATCATGGAAATAATAGTTGTGAGATCATAGAATAAAACCTTTAAGAGTATTATGAATCATTGAGAAAGATTTTGTGGAAGATACATCTCGAAATTTTAAAACTAGTTAACCTGAATGTTCAACATCTTTTAGAAAGTTCAGTGTTTAGGCTTGAATACTTTGAAAATGAAATCTGATAAGAGAACATATGATATACAAAAATGATAGTTAAATTCTGAGGCAGCAATGGAATACAGCAAGAAATACAATTACTACTTATCTTTGTTTTGAAAACATTACACTGTTCAAAAGTAAATGCCATCATAATTATACAAAATGAAGATGATTTCAGATATCTCCAGTGAGACATGTATTTATACATATATATACATACTTTTGGAATATGAAATGCTATACCAAAACAAAACACCAAAATCACTGCCATTGAGTGGACTCCAGTTCATGGCCACCCTATTGACCAAGGCTCTCCATAAAAGGCTATAATTCTCTAAATTGAAAGAAGGTATGCTGTAGCACAGAAAGGAGCAATGTAATAGCTATTATCTTGTCCCTACTGTCTTCTCACAGGGACCCAGTTGCATGAAGCTAACCAGCAGCTGCTATTTGAAAATAATGCAGAAGATCTAAAGCGCTGGCTGGAGGAGGTGGAGTGGCAGGTTACCTCCGAGGATTATGGGAAAGGCCTGGCAGATACTCAGAATCTACTCCGGAAACACGGCCTCCTGGAGTCAGCTGTGTCTGCCCATCAGGTTTGTTGCTAACGCTAAGGCCAAAGGTGGGAGTTTGGTGCAAACACTCCGAACAGAAAGAAATGTCAAGAGAGCAAAGGGCCAAGGTGAAAAAAAATTTTAATTGATTATCTTTCTCCCAATATCTTCTATGAACCGACCTTTCTCCTGAGTGTTCAGAGTCTTTTGTCAGAATCCAATGGCTCGTGTCATATTTGATTGAATCATCAAAACATAACACTTTTTTCAATCAAGGGTCTGGATTCTATATTCTTGTTTATTCTAGTTATATGATATTCAGTCGCTCATTCCATCTTTTGGGGTCTTAATACTTTCATCTACAAGATAACTGTTTGTTATAAAATGGTCTTTTCCTGTCTGACACTCTGTGATCAAAAGCTTGAACATATCTAACTCTTGTTGTTCTAGTTAAGAAAATAGAAGTTCAGAGAAGTAAAGTGACGTCCTAGTTCAATGTCACAGAGGGAATCAGTAGCAGCTCCAGGATGATGATGCAGATACCTGGACCTCCACTTTCAGGGGTTTTCTTCCCACTTCCTAACAAACTGTTATTTAGATAAATGTACCAGTGAGTTTCTAGAATATGGAGGCCGCATGAGAGTTCCTGGAGATGACAGTGGGAATCCAACCCCAGTTGATTCCATTTCTTATTCAGGAACCCTGGCTTGGGTGTGGAAATGATTATGCTTTTCACTAGAAAGGCCTAATATTTATCTTGTAAAATATCACTTATCATATCTTCTCTTTGGCTACTTGGAGTTAATTGGAAAACACAGAGTAATCTAAAGAACCTGGTGGGGGCAGTCACTAACATAGCTTTAAGGATAGCTCAATGAGTTCTAAATAAACAAAAGGCTGGAGATAGTAAAGCCGGAGAAAGATGGTTTTTATATCTACATGGATGAGCACATTTTTGAAATAGAGAAACAACATTATTTGAAGGGAAAAAAAGTAAATAAGCAAAAAATTATCTTAAGAGCAATAGAAAAGTAATATGTATAAACTCTTCAGAAATAAGATTATGTGATCCTACTGGGGAATAGCAGGGCAATTCTTCACCAGAATCTGATGTTTTTGTAGGGAAGGAACACTGAAATTGATGTTTGCTAAAAGTAATTTTTTTCCAATTTATTGGGACTCATAAAATTCATCACAATACGTAGATCAATTGTGTAGAGCACATCTATACATTTGTTGCCCTCAAAGAAAACAACATGGCTTGTGCCAGGAACACTTTAATGCTAAAGATGATATCTTTGCCATTTAAGGTTTTTAAAGTATATTGCCTAAAGTCTGAAATATTTACTACTTGAACATTTACCGAAAAACGATTACCAATCTCTAGAGTATTTGTCAGGAATAAAAAGGAATACATTTTTCCTCAAAAAAAAACACTAATTTTTATATGGAAGTTTAAATTTGGAGACTAGTTTTATTATCCTCTAATTCAAACGCCTCATTCTATAGAAAATGAAACTAAGATCAAAACAGGTGAAACACCTTGCCAAGCACTACATGGGAATTGAGTGACATTCAAGAGAAGAATCCAGATCTCCTATTTCCTTAGTGTGGGCCCTCGGCTACAGAGGTTTTCAATAATTATTACGGATCCATGGTGCTGCTGATGTTTTACAATCATTTACTATGTTTTGATGTGTTCCAAAGTCAAAGTGCCCTAACTTTTGGCTGCTCAGAGGCCTTTGAGTTAATACTTTATATAGGCTTTCCTTTTTTGTGAAGGAGTAGATTGTTTTGTTTTGTTTTCCAAAGAAATTTGGATAATACTTGTTTCCAAATTAAAGAAGAATAAATCAAATCTTAATAAACAAGTTGAGCCCTGGATGAAAAACACAGAATAAATATTATCTGGCTCTTGACTATTTCTTTTATGCAAAATTCACCTCTCTCCAAACAAATTACAAACAAAAAGCCTGAGTACAGTGCTTCAGCTAGGCCACTCATGAAGATGATGGAATATGTATCTTGCCTCTGTTTTATTTGTTTCTAGGAAAAGCCCTTAAAATCTCATTGCTATAGTCTTCCTTTCTTCTATAATACAAATGGAAATCATGATTTTCTCAAGTTCCCACAAGGAGTGACTAGCCAAAGCTGTGCCTGTGCATTTCTATTTTAAATTTTATTTTTCAGCACCATATTTCTTCTCATAGGTATTGTTCATGCCATACAATGAGCTAAGCCTTAGGAGTTTGAATTTTATTTAAAGTTTTAGTTCTTCTTCAAAAGAATTCTAAATGATGGAAATATATCCCAGACAGCAAAGGTCTCCCACTCTTTTCCTAAGAGCCACGATTTATTAACACTCCCCAAAAGTTAAGCCTCTGAAATTTTAATTTCTCTGATTTTCTTGGAGCATTTCTAGTAACTATTTTTTGGTCATTTTTGCAATGTTGTTTGACAATTACAGTGTTATAAATTTCTCTTCGTTTTCCTAGCTGTATTAACACAACCCAATTTTTTCCCCTACTGATTTAATCAGAGATTCCAACACAGTACACATGAGAGCGAATTTTCCCATGGAGCTACTCCCCTAACTCCAATCTCTTCTTTCTTGATAACTTTTCCTGTTTCTCTCTCAGGACCAAGTGGACACCCTCACAGAGTTGGCTGCATATTTTGAAGAAAAAGACCATCCTGATGCTGGGGACATACGGGCAAGGCAGGAGTCTCTAGTGTCCCGGTTTGAAGCCTTGAAGGAGCCTCTGGCCACCCGGAAAAAGAAACTACTCGATATATTCCGATTGCTCCAGCTCTGCAGAGACACTGAGGATGAAGAGGCCTGGATCCAAGAGACAGAACCCTCAGCAGCTTCCACCTATGTTGGTGAGTATAACCTGAGCTGGCTGTGCCTCAAGGATAGATCAAGGTACCTGCAGCGAGATGGGGAGATCTGGGATGCGGCCAGAAAAGAGAAAGTTTGTGCTGTTTTTCACCTTCAGACTCATAGACAATGTGTCCAGTACAGTGTCCCTAAGAAGAGCTAAAGTGATTAGCTTTATTCAACTTGCTTTACTTTATTTTATTGTGAAGTTTTTGGGCCTAGCAGATATGTTTAGTATCTTAGATACCAAGCGTTTTTGTCTAGGCTGTTGGCACTGCTCTACTTTTTTCATAATTTTGTCTTTGACTCTTTTTTTAGTTACATGGAAGATTACATGGATCAAAGGGGTTAAGTAGCAGATATAAATTTGAATAGAATGTGTACAGCAAATAAACTAGATTTTTTTTTCTTAGAAGCCATCATGTCACCAGTGGCAGTTGTCAGACAGTTGCTTTGGAGGAAAAGAAAAAATGCACCCAAATAGAGTGGAAACTTAGCACACTGTACTAAGTGTAAATAGGAGAGATTGGATAATGTTGACATTGGTGGAGTCTTGAAGGTTTCTTTGAAGGGGGAGTCTTGGGGAGAGAGTTTCTCGACAAACAATTTGAATAGAATGTGTACAGGAGAAAATTTTTAAAGAGAATAATGGTGATACATGATGGGAGATGGGGAAGATGCAGGAGAGAACAAATAATGGGGAATATTAGAGGATGTAGGGAATTCACAACAGATAGTATTTATAGTGTTTTTCATTTTAGGCGAAAAGTGAGAACTTGTTATTAAGTTATTGTCAACTCTTATAAGAAAACTTTAAAGCAGATAATAGTATGACCTCATCATGGGAAGATAACTTAAATTTAAGGCCTGTAAGGGCATTCTTAAATCCATAAAAATTAACAAGTGAAAATCCTCATTTTTACACTGCAATGTGACAAAAGAAAATAGTTCCATACTAGGAGGAACTTGATCTTAAGAGGCTCCTTCCCAAGGAAAATAGTGATTATTTCATTATCATTTAGAGAATAATTAACTGGATTTTCTTAGTGTGAAGAGACACGGCAAGAAAAAAGTTGAGTAAGGTTAATTCTGATGGTTTAAGTTTCAGGACACCTGTCTCTGATTAGAACTACAAATGGAAGAGCATGTAGGTCCAAGAGTTCAAATAAATGAGATAAGTGGTTCTCATTCCATACATCAGAGAATCCCATCACTTGAAATCTCTTTTGTCAATAGGTAAAGACCTGGTTGCTTCTAAGAATCTCCTGAACAGGCACCAAGTTATACTGGCTGACATTGACAGTCATGAGCCACGCATCCGAGCGATAACCGAGAGAGGAAATAAAATGATAGAGGAAGGTATGTATAGTTGATCAGATCATCACTATTAGCAATCTTTGTGAAGCAGTTTGCAGAATCTGAGAACTTACAGAGAATTTGAAGATATCCATATTAACTCCTGATATTCCTTTTAAGACATTTATCACACACACACATATGAATAATAGCAATCTATCTCACTCTATGTCATGAATGAGGCTTTTCTATCTTATGTAAACCCTAAATTGTTAAAATTATATCTTTTACCATAATCACAATTAGGCTTCTGTGGAGAAGAATTCAGAATCTAGAATTGAGCGCATGTCCCATTTGGAAGCTTTCGTATCTGTTAAAATACCACCAATGTTCCCAACACCTGTTATTTTTGATGTTGGAGAATAATGTTTCCTTACATTTCTCACTTTATACAGTGCTAAAGTCTTTCTTCATTTTGGTCTCCCATCTTCAGAAACTTCTAGTAATTAGGTAATATTCATATCTGAACATCATAGAGTAAGTATGACATAAACAATGAAGATTACAGCTATACTGACTGAAGAGTACATTGTAAGCTAACATTCATACCGTTGAGAAAATTTCATGTCTCAAATGAAGATTTCAAACAAGAAAAAAGATCTTGAATATAAGCTATTGACAGTCTTATGGAATTCAGTTCTACTCTGACACACATAGGGCTAGTATGATTCAAACGATTTAACAGCAACTTTGTGTTTAATGGCACTATAGAGACCTATTCCACCACTTATCTATCAGTCTGTCAGACTGTGGTAGCTTGTGTGTTGCTGAGATGCCTGAAGCCATGCCACAGATGACTCAAATACCAGCAGGATCAACCAAATTTAACAGGTTGCATTGATGCTCCAGATTAAGAACAGACTATGAAGAAGAAATAGGCTGCCCACTTCTGAGGGATTAACCACTGAAAACCTGACGAATAGCAGCAGAATAATTTCAAATACTCCGTTAGAAGATGAAGGCTCCCTTTTCCCCACGTTAGGAGACATTCAAAATATGCGTGGGGAAGACTTGCCTCCTCAAAGTGGAGTCAACATTAACGATGTGGATGAGTAAAGCTTTCAGGTCCTTAATTAGCTAGTAGAGCATGACTCAAAATGGGGGGAAAAACACCCTGCAATCATCCATTAATCATTGTAACCTAAAATATATAAGGTATGAATCCAGGAAAATTGGAAGTTATAAAAAAATTAAATAGAATACATAAAGTCCATATCCTAGACAGTAATGAGTTATAATGGAATGATAATGGTAATTTTTGAGTTATACAAACCTGTGGTTTGCTATGCCAGGAATAACAAATTCAAGAGGAACAGTGTCATATTCATCTTCAGAAAGAATATTCAAGTTCTATCTTGAAGTAAAATGCTGTTTCTGATAGCATAATATCTTGTATGCCTACAAGGAAGTCCAGTTAATACAGCTATTATTCAGTCATGCACCAAAAACTAAAACCAGTAATGACAAACATGAAGAACTTCTTCTGTATGAAATTGATCAAATATACAATCAAAGAAGCATTGAAAAGTATTGATAATTGGAGTGCAAAATCGGGAACACAGAGGAAGGAACAGGAGTTGGAAAATATGGCTTTGGTGGTAAAAATGTAGTTGGAGAATGAATCATAGAATTTTGCAAGATGAATGATTTTTTAGTGAAAATGCTTTTTTCCACAACATAAACCGTGACTATACATGTGAGATTCCTCAGATGTACACACAGGAATTTAATCAGCTATATATATGTGGGAAGAGACCACGAGAAGCTCAATATTATTAGTCAAAAGCAGGTCAGCACTTACTGTAAAATAGATAATCAATTGCTCTTATGCAAATTTATCTTGAAGCAGAAGAAAATTAAAACAAATCCACAAGAGCCTAAATACAACCTTAAGAACCGCTCACTTGAATTTAGAAAAATTCTCAAGAACAAATTTCACCCATTGAATCCTAATGGCAGAGCGTTGACAACCTGAGGATGACATAAAAAACACCATCCACGAAGAAAGCAAAAGGTCATTAATGAGACAAGAAAGACTAAAGTAGATGTCAGAAGAGTCTCTGAGGCCTGCTCTGGACATAAAACAGCTGAGTAACTTGTGGAAAATCATGATGGAAAGAGTCGAACAGAAAATTTCAAAGGGCAGCTTAAGAGAACAAATTAAAATATTATCATGAAATGTACAAGGACCTGAAGTCAGAAAACCAAAGATAAAAACAAACTTAGCATATATCGAACTGAAAGCATTGAAGGATTCCATGTGTAAAATATTGACTATTGCAGGAAGCATCAAAAGAAGGTGGAAGGAATACAGAGTCACTGGAACAAAGAGAATTGGTCAATATGCTCACTCGAATTTTTAGCAGATTTGTGCTGAGTGGTTGGTTTAGTCACATAAAGAGACTAATGTGTGTCTCCGGTTTCCTCATGAAGAATTTGAACTGAAACATGACCCCAGCATCCATGAAGACATCACCAACAATTTCCAACAGCCCCACATGGTGTTCAGAGGACACCATTCCCTCCACTTTGAGGATGTGGTTCACGTCATGGGGTTCTGAAGGAGGTCAAGTCTCAATACTGTCATAGTCAGGAACCTCACTTCATTCTTGAGGCACTGAATCCCTACCAGACTTTGGTCATGAAAAGCATGTAGTGCCCCACTGACACATGACTGCATTTCTTCTTTTTTTTCGGCATTATTTAAATTACTATTATTTTATTCTTTTTTAAAATCATTTTATTGGGGGCTCATACAATTCTTATCACAATCCATACATACATCCATTGTGTCAAGCACATATGTACATTTGTTGCCATCATCATTCTCAAAACATTTGCCTTCTACTTGAGCCTTTAATATCAGCTCCTCCTTTTCCCCACTCCCTCCCCACTCTCCCCTCCCTCATGAACCCTCCATAATTTATAAATTATTATTATTTTGTCATATGTTACACTGTCGGCCATCTCCCTCCACCATCTTCTCTGCTGTCCATCCCCCAGGGAGGAGGCTATAAGTATAATCTTGTAATTGATTCCCCTTTCCACCCCACATTCCCTCCACTCTCCAGCATACCACTCTCACCACTGGTCCTGAAGGGATTATCTGTCCTAGATTCCCTGTGTTTCCAGTTCCTATCTGTACCAATGTACATCCTCTGGTCTAGCCAGATTTGTAAGGTAGAATTGGGATCATGACAGTGTGGGAGAGGAAGCATTTAAGAAGTAGAGGAAAGTTATATGTTTCATCGTTGCTGCCCTGCTCCCTGACTGGCTCATCTCCTCCCCACAACCCTTCAGTAAGTGGGTGTCTAGTTTGCTACTGATAGGCTTTGAGTCTCCACTCTGCACTCACCCTTATTTAGAGTGATATGGTTTTTTTTGTTCTTTGATGCTTGATACCTGATCCCTTCGACAGCATGTGGCCACACAGGCTGCTGTGCTTTCTTCCATGTGGGCTTTGTTGCTTCTGAGCTAGATGGCTGCTTGTTTATCTTCAAGCCTTTAAGACCCCAGGCGCTATATCTTTTGATAGCTGGGCACCATCAGCTTTCTTCACCACATTTGCTTATGCACACATTTTTCTTCAGCAATCGTGCTGGGAAGGTGTGCATCATGGAATGCCAATTTAATAGAACAACGTGTTCTTGCATGAGTAAGTACTTGAGTGGAGGCCCAATGTCCATCTGCTGCATATGACTGAATTTCAACCAAGTGTCAGAGCTGTTTAAAGAAGTGCAGCCACTCCGTGCGATATGCCCCGAGCTGTACACCAGGCCACCCCTCACCCAACCCCAAAGGAAGGGCCTGATGATTGAGCGCCAGCCCCCTTCCATGTCCTATCATTGGACAAAGGATCTTTCCCTGCCCTTCAAATGTCAGAATGAGAAGACTGAAATCATGCGCGAGCTTGCAGAATCCCTGGTGCCTGTGGAGATTAAACCCGGCACTTGCTTGTCAACTGTTTCGACTGTGGTGCATACTAAACACAATCAGCTCATTATTCAGCCACCTCCAAGGCTCATCCAGCTTATGAATGGTAAGAAGAGAAAGTGGGTTAGTGATGACAATTCAGACCCCAAAATGGTGAAACTTTTGCAGAGGGACTCCATCCTTGTGAAGCAGTTTTGTGCTGTTCTGTGATATCAAGGTGGAAGACACTGTCAAGGCCATATCATCCTACTTAAGGAAGCAGAGATACTACTTCAGATTGAATCAGATTCAACTCATCATTTTGACAATGACAAGATGGTCAGGATGCAACTGCTGTCCCTCATCCTCAAATTCTTAAAGAAGTTCCAAATGGAGAATCTGGACCATTCCCACTTCCCTCATGGTCTACACTCTGTCACCATGGCTACCCAGTGCAAGTCAAGTGAGGAAGGGGACCAAACGCTTTTGGATGTCTTTGTGATGAGGAAGTACCTGTGGGGTGAAAAAAAATTCAGGTTACTACTATCAGTCCCTGGACTGCATTTCTAGCATTTTTCAAGTGTCTGAATGGGGTTAGATGGTCAGGCAATGATATTATGCTCCATAACTGAGCCAAATACTACCCTTCAAGAGTCTAATAACAGAAAGAAATGTAAACGGTGATTAGCTGGTTATCTTATATTGTATGTGCTTTTCACAGTTTCTCATGTCTAAGCTGGGGAGTTTGTCATTGATTTTGTTTGAATGACTTACCTATAGTGCTGCTCTTAAGAAAAAAAATATGATCCCAAATGATATGAAAGTAAACCCTTTGATCTGCATTTTATATTGAGACTATTGTGCTAATAAAATTTAATTTTATATGGGGAAAAAAAGCATTGTTCCACATTTAATCATTTCAAGAGGAAGCATATGATCAAGAACCAATGGTATTGAAGTAATTAGTCCAAGCCAAAAACAAGACTCTGGCAATTGACAGGATACCAATTGACCTATTTGAACCAGCTGATGAAGCACTGGAATCACTCGCTCATCTATGGATTTTGGAAGACAGAAACCTGGCCAATGGACTGGAAGATATAAATTTTTGTGCCCAAAGAAAGATGACCCACCTAAATGCCGAATTTAGCAAACAATACCACCTCTGCAGAAGACTGGGATTTCTACTCCTATAAACAGTTACAGTGTTGAAAATCCACAGGGAGTCACTGGATGACGGTGAGCTCACCTTCAAGTCAAAGTTTCCTGCCGATCATTCATAAACAATTGCAATAGTATATTGACAAGGACCTGCCAGAAAGTTAAGCTGGGTTCAGAAGAGAACATGCTACCAGGGACATCATTGGCTAAATGGACCTTGCCTAAATGCAGAGCATACCAGAGAGAGGTTTACTCGTATTTTATTGACTATGTAAAAGCATTAGATTGTATGGATGATAACAAACTATGGGTAACCTTGAGAAGTATAGAAATTTTTGAATACTTCATTTTAGTCTTGCGGAACCTGTACATAAACCCAGAAGAAGTATGAACAGAAAAAAAAAAGCGATCGCTGCATGGTTTAAAATCAGGAAAAGTGTGTGTCAGGCTGGTACCCTCTCATCACACTTATTCAATCTGTGTGCTGAGAAAATAATGAAAGAAGATGGTTAACATGGAGAAGAGTATCATATCAGATTGGAGGAAGGCTTATTCCCACCTTTGATATGACATGACCTTGCTGGATGACAGCAAGGACTTGAAGCACTTCCGGTGAGGATCAAGGACTGCAGTCTTCAGCATCAATTGAAACTCATTGTAAAGAAACGGGACTCTGCACAACCAGACAAAGAGGAAACATCACAATAAACAGTGAAAAGATGGAAGTTGTTCAGCGATTAATTTTACGTGGATCACAGTCAATGCTCATGGAAACAGTGGTCAAGCAGTCAAATGATAATTGCATTGGCCAAATCTGCTGCTCAAAATCTCTTAAATTATGGAAGAGGAAGGATGTCACTTTTAAGAGTAATGTGTGCCTGACACAAGACATGATATTTTCAGTCGCCTTATATGCATGTGAAAGTTGGAAAACGAATAAGGAAGATTGAAGAAGAATCACTTGATTTAGATGATGGTGCTGTTGAACTATTTTTAAAGTACTACGTATTCGATAAGAATAAGCAAATCTGTCTTGAAAGAAGAACAGCGGAGATGTTCCTTAGAAGGAAGGATGGCAAGACTTTGTCTCAAGCAGTTTGGATATGTTACCAAGAGAGATCATTTCCTTAAAAAGGACACCATGCTTGGTGAAGGAAAGGGTCAGTGAAAAAGAAGTTTTTTTGTTTTTGTTTTTTAAGAAGTCTTTTAACAAGATAGATTGACATAGTGTCTTCAACCACAAGGGGCCCAAACACAGCAATGTGAGGATTGCCCAGGACACAGCAGTGTTCCCTTCTGTTGTACACATGGGCTCACTATGCGTCAGACTCAACTTAATGGCACCTAACAACAACAACAGTAACAACCACACAGGGAAGGTTTGTTTTCTTTAACTCTCCAAATATAACTGTAGTTTTTTTCTCCTTTCCTTTGATCAATTTTGTTTTATGTAATGTGAAGCTATGGTATTAGGTGCATATACTTAATGTCTTCTCGACAAATTGAAATCTTTAGCATTATATAAAAACCCTCTTCATCCATAACCTTGTTCCTTGTTCTGAAATCTTCCTCCTGAAAAAAATTTATATTGTAACTTCAACTTTCTTTTGGATAGCATTCGCATGGTATATATGTTTCAATTCTTCTGTGTGTGTGTGCATCTATACACATGCATACATATGTAGCTTATTTCCAATAGACACCATAGACTTTTTCTTTAATAAATTAGCTCTTGAGACACAGTCAGTATAGCATTTGGCTACAATCTGAAAGCCTGGCAGTTTAAACTCACACCGCTCGGGGGGAAAGGATGTGTCAACCTGCTTCCATAGAGATTGATGGCCTTGAAGACCTTGCGCAGCTCTACTCTTTCCTACAGCATCACTCTGAATCACAATCAATTCGATAATATTGGGTTTGGCTGTTTTGGTTGCTTTTATTTCATACTACCTAGTAATTTTACCTTTTAATTATGGTATTTACACCATTTGTATTTGATGTTATGGTTGAAATTAAATCTAGTATATTATTATCTACTTTTTCATTGTTCATCAGGTATTTTTTTCTTTTGTGAAATTTTGATATGGGGCTTTTGATGTTTTCATTGGGATTGTGAGTCTATTTTATGTCCACATTACTTCACTATATTATCTGTCACTTTGTCATCTCTGTGTGTCATGTGTGCTTGCAAGAGCAGTGATTGACAGGGATTCTTCAGTTGTGGTCTGGGAACATTTTGAGGTCCCTCAGACACGTTTAAGAGGGAACACAAATGAAAGTATTTTATAACAACCATAAGATATTATTTGCTTCTCTCACTTTCATTTTCTTCCTAAAGGTACAGCGACATTTAACAGAGCCTACATGAAATATGATAATGTTATTTTTCTGGTGGTTAATAGAATGTATACTTGTACATTTTCAGCTTGAAAGGATTCTATTTTAATTTGTGATATGATAACTTTCAGTAGATATGCCCCCAATAAGCAAAATATGTGTACATTCAATAACTTTAAAAATTATTAAAGGACCAAAATATTTGAGAGCATCTCAAAATATTTGAGAGCATCTCAAAATATTTGAGAGCCTCTCCCCTCTGTGATTGGAGATTAGTTTTGCTTTGTCTGGTTGGGAGTAACCTTTAACAACTGGTTCTTGTTCTTCCTGCTCTTACAACACAGGTAAGCATGTGGTAGACATTAATATGGGTCACACTCACCTTTTCTATTAACTACTCCACAGGACACTTTGCTGCAGATGATGTGTCCTCAAGAGTGAAGAATTTGAATGAGAACATGGAGTCTCTACAGGCCCGAGCTGCTAGGCGACAGAATGATCTTGAGGCCAATGTCCAGTTCCAGCAATATCTGGCTGACTTGCATGAAGCAGAAACATGGATTAAGGAGAAGGAACCTATTGTAAAAAATACTAACTATGGGGCTGATGAAGAATCAGCTGGAGTAAGTGAGGGGTAGGGATGGGCATTGTCTCATGACATTCCTCTGATGAGAATTCCATGTATCATCAAATGGTACCAAATTACTAATGTAGGGTTTACTTGGATTATGAGATCATCATCGATTCTACTGTATTCTTTTTAGTTTCTAGAATAATTACCTCTGTTGTTTTCTGATGGTATCGCCTCAGATTTGACGATGATTTCAATCAAATCTTCTAAATCCCCAGAGATTCACAGACATTTCAGAGATTATCTAAATCCAAAAAGGTCCGACCAGAAATCCATAACTCTATTGGTTCCATCCTGAATTTCTCTCACAGATACAATGAGCTTGAACCAACTCAGATAGTGGGTGAAACTTCAAAGTGTAACCTTAGGCTTGTACAAACTAAGCAGAGTTTTGAGGTGTATGCACATCAATTAATTTCTCGGGATAAAGGTGTATACATTGAAAAAGAAATCAAGTCGAAAGTCAAAGGTATCCTTGCTCTTTATAACAATTTCTGCTTTATTCAATGGAAATAAAGGAAAGCTAGCATAGTATTTTATAAACCTTTAACACTAGAAATAACTGTAATTGGCATTTTAAAATGCATGTTAATGTTTCGTCCTATGACTTTATGCTGTCATCCCAAACATGTTTCAGCAATGATGTATATTGATTTAAAAATCATACTATTTTTAGTTCAGTTTGGTTGTAACCAAACCAAATTCACTGCCACCAAGTCAACACTAACTCATAGTGCCCCCCCACCCCCACCCCGTGGGTTTCTGAGACAGTAACTGTGTTATGGGAGTAGAAAGCCCAGTCTTTCTCCTGTGGAGCTGCTAGTGGTTTAGAACTGCCCATCATGCGGATCATCACCCAACGCATAACTGAAATCCCTATCCATTTATGAGATCTTATGTTCTTGATGGAGTTCTGTGGGTGGATGGGTTAGGCATTGGACTGCTAATCACAAAGTCTAAATTTCAAATTACCAGCCACTTCTTATGAGATAGATGAGGTCCTTTGTGCTCATGAATTTTTTTTTCACCATCTCAAAAATCTTACAAAAGATTGCTATTGTCAGAATCTAATCCAGTGGGTCTCCACCTTCCTAATGCCGTGACCCTTTCATACAATTCCTCATGTGGTGGTGACCCCCAACCATCAAATTATTTTCATTGGTACTTCATAACTGTAATTTTGCTACTGTTGTTATGAATCTATTTTCGTTGTTACACATTGAACATAATTAAAGCATAGCGATGAATCACAAAAACAATATGTAATTAGATATTGTGAAACATTTATTTCTAATTATAAATAAATGAAATTTTGTCTTGAAGCATTGTGTAGTATGAGTAATAGTGTCACGCCGTGTACTCATATGTGGGTGTATCTGCATGTGGGCAGACCCACCTGGAGATGAATAGACACATCTAAAATATGTGTTTTCCGATGGTCTTAAGTGACCCCTATGAAAGGGTCATTTGACCCTGAAAGGGACCACCACTCAGAGGTTGAGAACTGCTGATCTGGTCATTGGGAGTGGGTTTAGTTGGATTTTTTTCTTGATAGTTTCCATGTTAGATTAAAATAGAAATTTATATTGGATGAAATGTGGCTTTTGCTCAAAATTTAGACAAAAGTCGACATAGGCCAAAAGAATAGTAGTTGAAGCATCTGCCCCTGGTGTTTGGTGTTCCTTTGGTATTTCCTCTGATGATCTTCCCTCAACAAATCAGGTTCTTCTAAAGAAGCATGAAGCCTTCCTAGTGGATCTCAAAGCATTTGGAACCAGCATGCAAGCTCTGCGGAATCAGGCAGAAACCTGCCAGGTAAGGAGGATGACCCACCAGAAGGAAAGGGGATTCTTTTTTATCATCAGCTTCTACGTCCTGCCACTCAGAAAATGATGATGACGAAAACACTACAATCTATGACCTTCACAGGCAGCATTTTAGCATAACCTTTGCAACTCCGAATTGAAGAAGGAATGGACCATGACTTTGAAAGAGGGTGTCCACTTGACTTAGCCTCTCAGAGTGATTTGCTAAAAGTAAAATGAGAAAGGACTCTTCCTTGGAGATCCTGCTGATTAATGTAAAAAATGCAGTGTATTTTTAAGGATGCAGTTTAATTTGTCATTGAATTCAATCTGGTGGTCTTTCATGAGCTCTGGATCACCCAGGTCTTAGTAAAGAAAGTCCTCGGATCCTCGACACATGACTTAAAGGCCTTGGCGTGGGAAGCATTGTCCATGGAGACCCAGGGAATAGGTAAAATAATGAGAGATATTGAGACATTTCACTTTTATATACAACAGTCTGAAACTTCAATGTCTATAATCCTTTTGGAATTTCTTAGACAATTATATCACCCCTCCTACTTTAAGAACCAGTATCTGTAAACACTTACCATAATGGCAGCAAACCACATTTTCATTTATTCACCCTGTATTCACATTTCTCATCCAGCTTATCTCCTGAGAAATGTTAGGTGGGGCAGTGTCTCTGAAGAACACATTTCACCATATCTATATTCTAGAGTCATGTAAAGAGGCTTCATTCAGAGGCTATGTCTTCTGTCTGGCCCAGGGACTGACAATGCTGGATGGCCCTAGCAGGTGGAGGCAAAGAGATGATTCCAAGAAGTGATCGACGTGCTTGTTACATTTTTTTCCAGCAACAACAGGCTGTGCCAGTGGAGGGCGCTGGTCGAGAAGAGAGGGTTGTGGCGCTATATGACTTCCAGGCTCGCAGTCCCCGAGAAGTCACCATGAAGAAAGACGACGTCCTAACTCTGCTGAGCTCCATTAACAAGGTGATTTCCCTTTGTAAAGATCTCTCCATCAAAACTGTGCTTTTCCAGAACGATCTCTTTTTATTATCTGTAAAGTTTATTATTAATTGGGATGTAATACATACACCGTATCATTCCATAGTTTAAGCACAGCAAGTGGAATTGTATCATTGGTACCACAAGCAGTTTCCAGACATTCTTTTTCTACATGGACTCCTTGAAATTGTCTCCCCTTTACCCCATCACCACCACCAATGCAAAACCCTTTTTCTACTTGCTGACCCTATAGGGTCATCAGTCCTGGGTTTCATATACCAAAAAAGTAGGAAACATACAGCACAGCTTCAATAAGGTGACTTCCAATGACATATCACCTCTGAGATACACTCTATTTGAACAAACAAAAAACAAACCAAAAATAAAGAAAAACTTGGAAACCAGATCAGGCACAGCCTGCATCATAGAGGCATCTACTGGTTGGTGACCACTTTCCTCGTGTTTCGATAGGGGAGTTCTCCAGAGGCTTATGTCCTATGTGGGTCCACAAATGGATCTTGGGCTACCACTGTCATCCATAGCCTTCTGCAGACCAGATTCTCACACTTTTGGTTCTGATACTAATCCCTCCTTTGACTTCAGACTATATGGATTGCAATCCTTCAGTGACTGATGCTGGTGTGCTTCTTCCATGTGGACTTGGTTGACAACTCACTTAGATGGCTGCTTGTTTGGAGACAAGTCTTTAAGACCCCAGACACTATTTTATCAGATAACTGGGCAACATTTTAAATTCCTCACCACACTTCTCTTTAGCACTCGCATCTTCTTTAGCACTCAATATTTCCTGAGGGCGAGTCTTGAGCAGGGTCATGATGTAAGGACTCACTGTCCTTCAAATAGAGCTAGGATTTAGTGGGAGCTGAAAATCCATTTCTGGATTTATGCATTTTTAAAAATGATTGTATTGGCAGCTCTTATAATATTCCATACATCAATTGTATCAAGCATATACGTATATTGCCATCACCACTTCCTAAACATTTATCTCATTGATATCAGCTCCTCTTTTTTACTTCTCTCCCCCAACTCCCACCCTTGTGGTGATCATTATTATTGTTTTCATATATTCCATTATTGTTAAATCATTATTGTTTTCATGTATTCCCTGACTGCTGTCTCCCTTCACCCACATTTCTGTTGTTTGTCCCCGGGGTGGGGGGTGTTATGCGTCCTTCATTGTGATTGGTTCCCCCTTCCTCCCCTCTTCCCCCACCTTCCCCCCCTATGCTCCTGGTACCACTACTCCCATTTCTGTTCCTGAGGGGTTTATGTGACCTGGATTCCATGTGTCATGAGCTCTTATCTGTACCAGTGTACATACTCCAGTCTTATGCTTTTTTCTTTTAATTTGTTATTGTTTGGGAGTTAATAATATGTCATATCATTCCATAGTTTAGTCACTTCAAACAGAATTGTATGATTGCTTCCATAGTCAGTCATACTTTTCCTTCCTGGGCACCTTGTCACCATCTCCACTATTGACGAGAAAATACTTTACTATCACTTTCTTAAATAACCATTACTTATTAAGTAGCACCTTTCTTCTAGATATTATGTAAGATCCTATACATATCTTTCCCAATATTTATAGTAGCTCTGAGGTAAGATTATAAATTAATGGAGTTTCAGAGAGCTTAAGCAATTTTCCCAAAGATACATTAAAAAAAAAGGGCATCAATTATGTAGTATGTTAAAGACTAAGTTGCTTTCTTCTTATTGTTTTGCCCTTTCCTATTCTGTGCAGTTTTTTAATGATAGTGCAAAACTAACTGAGTTTAGGAGAAACTTGATAAAATATTTTTAATTTAAATCTTCTTAATCTGGTTTTCTTTAGCCTTAGTGAGTACAGTGACACAATAATAACTAGGGTTATTAGCATGTTTTTAATAAGAACTCAGATATTTTGCATACACTCAAATATCTAATGAATTTCCAAAAGTGCTTGGAGAGAAAGTTTTGGATATCATTAATGTAGGAATACATTAATTTCTTGAAAAGCTGTTCCATTCTCAGATAAGCTATGTTCCAATCTCCACCTCTTTACCAAGGCCTGTCCACTTCATCATATTATCCTAATAACTCTAAAATGATTAATACAGCAATAGTCCCTACCCATATTTCTGCTGGAATTAAGATAATAAGTAAAAGCCTTCAGAGAAATACATTTTAAGGCATGCCTCAATGTCAACAACTCCAAGAGTGGGGTAGAGGAAAGAGATGGAAAAGATAAATTTTGTTTAGTAATATGCCATACACAGCTGCTTCATTCACAAGAGTCCAGGTTAAATTTTAGCTTCCGTGTGTGTGTGTGTGTGTGTGTGTGTGTGTGTGTGTGTGTGTGTGAGAGAGAGAGAGAGAGAGAGACAGAGACAGAGAGAAAGGAGAGAGAGAGACAGAGAGAGAGAGAGAGAGAGAAACTCCTTGGTAGACAAACTGCCCCATCATTAGGGAACTATCTTTGGGTTTGGTCAAACTAAGGATCTAGCACCAAATGTCTCACTCCTAGATTTCACAGATTTACCTCTGGATCTCTTGCACTCCATATCTTGTTAATAATATATGGAAAGCATATGTCACCCATAGCAAGGGTTTCCGTCTCTTGACCATCACACCATGTCTGTGCTTACTTTTCTAATTTTGGCATTTTTAAGAAGAAAGGTGTGGGGATTTGTTCTCCATTCAGGACTGGTGGAAGGTAGAGGCGGATGACCATCAGGGCTTCGTCCCAGCTGTTTATGTCAGGAAACTGGCCTATGATGAGTTCCCGATGCTTCCACGACGGAAGAGAGAAGAGCCAGGCAGCATTTCCGAGCGACAGGAGCACATTGAGAACCAGTAAGTACTGAAGGAGGGATAACTAGACAGTAAGTGATTGGACAAACATTTCCCTTTTTTTTTTGGTCAAAATAGGCTTTTCATAGTTTTTCATCTATTAGAAGATTATAGATGTCATTGATAATGTGCAGATTTTAGAAGCTAAAATTAAATTTAGAGTGCTTCAAATACTTTCATGTGAAGAAAGGGAATCTCAGAACCACTAAGTCAATTGGATGAGGTCAGAAACTTATTAGAACTGCGTATTCTGGCATTCTTCCCAGAATGGATTAATTTAATATTATCAAAGGTCTTCACTTCCATATGCATGCTGTTAATTATACCAAGGTGTGTCTTATTCATTTGCCAGTTGTGTGTGAATATTTTTTCCCCTGAAAAGGTAGAAAGGATACTGCTTCTTATGCTATTGAGACATTAACATTTTAAAATGTGACGCTGTGTTTTGTCTCTCTGTTCTAATGCTCCCCGCCACCATATTTATTATCTCCTATTATGTACATTCTCCTTTCTCTCGATTTTATTTCTTTCTTTACTCCTTGTCCCATGGCTCTACATTTGTGTGTTTTCAACAACTTTTCTCCTACCTTTCTTATTTTCTTGACTTCACCGCCCAGGTACCACTCACTCCTTGATCTGGCAGAAGAGCGCAGACGTCATCTGTTGCAACGTTATAATGAGTTTTTGCTGGCTTATGAGGCAGGAGACATGCTGGACTGGATAAGAGACAAGAGGAGAGAAAACACTGGTGTGGAGCTAGATGATGTTTGGGAGTTACAGAAAAAATTTGATGAGTTCCAAACGGTGAGAAAGAAAGACGGTCTCCCTTAAACACCTTTTAGAGAGGTTTGATTTTTATTTTTCCATACCTCCTTCTCTGAATTGATTTCATGTTTGCTGAATATCCTACTCCAAATTACTGAGAGCTCCACAGCTCAAATATTCCTCTGAGTATTATTAGTATTAATAAATAAAGAGGAGCCAGAAGAGATTAGTCACCTCACCTTACAACTTATCACCCTACTGCCCCCAAATCTTCTGGGAGATCTGATAGATCTGCATTCTTCAAAATGTCCCCACTACCATAATGTGTTCCTGCTGGCCAATTTGATATGGAACACTGTGTCAGTTCTTAAGATGGGGTAGGGGGTTGGTGGTATTCCATGCTTTAGATAAATATTCGCTCTTTGGGCAAGGTGTGGATAACCAGTAGGCATCAGAGAGTTTAGCTTGAGGTGGGACTTTCCACTCCCATAAAGAGTGACAGTCTCTGAAACCCACAAGGGCAATTCATTTCTGCCTAAAGGGTCACTATGAGTTGGCATCGACTGGCTGACAATGAATTTCTTTGGAGGCGTTGTATTTATATTAGCGACAGATAAGGGAAAGCAGTCATTGCCTGTTGCAACAAAGGTTTCATTATGCTTTAATATTCAGTCAGGAAAGGAATGGTATGAAGGTAAGCTTTGAGAACAGGATTAACTTTGTTAGGGGCACATATTCTCCTCCAGGATTTGAAGACGAATGAGCCTCGGCTGAGGGATATCAATAAGGTGGCTGACGACTTACTGTTTGAAGATCTTCTGACACCAGAAGGTGCTCAAATCCGACAGGTAACTAAGGCTCCTTCCATTAATTCTCATCACCATCCTGGTCTTCTGAGCCTTTGTTTCTTTTTCATATACCCAACTTCATATTCCACAGGTTAGCTAGGAACACACATAAAGTAAGGGTGGTGTGAAGCTACCAGCAACATCAAGGACAGATAGTACAGCTATGTTTCCTGTCAAAGCTTAACCAAAGCACAACCTTATTTATGAACACGCATTGAGTGTCCTTTGAGCTCCCACAAGAGATGTGTTGTGTTGAGGGATGTGGATGTGGTGAGAGAGGGGCATAAGTATTGGAACTGGTGATTCAAACTTAGTTTCAGGCCACAGTGTTATTTATTGCACTGGAAATGTCACTTCATTTCTAATGGCTTCTGTTTCAACATTTCTAATGCAAGAGAATTGAAAAGTATAGTCTCTTAAGTTTTGTTTTAATTTATTATTGAATGTCTATTAAATTAAACATACTATTCTTTTCTCCAACAACGCATCAAATTCTGAACTTCCCAATTGAAAATTTAACAAAATTATATTTGAACTAACCAGAAATCTTTAAATTGCAAACCACTCACTGACCCACCACCACCACAACCCACACATAGCGTCTCCAGTGCTCACATGTCTGAATGGAAAGGAAATGCATAGCAACCAAAGGAAGGTATTATAGCGAGAGATGATAAGTGAAGAACAGTCACTGCATAAAGTACGTTCTGATAAACATACTGAAAAACGAGATGAGGATAGGTTGGGAGAGAGGTCAGGGTGGGGGTAGAAGCTTTCTGTGTCCGATTCATTGATTTGGACTATGGATCTATGAAAAGCTGACATACGTGTGTGGAATGTCTAGTGTAGCTCCCTGTTGTTACCATGTGTGACTGAGTTGTTCTGACTCATAGCAGCCCTGTGTGCAACAGAAGGAAACACTACCCGCTCCTGCTGCATCCTCACAGTTGTTCTGAGGTTTGGGCCAGTGTTGCAGCCCCTCTGTCAATCCATCTCATCAAAGGCCTCCTCTTTTGCTCAGTCCTTCCACTTTACCAAGAATGTTGTCCTTCTCCAGGGACGTGTCTCTCTTGATACCATGGCCAAAGTACATGAAACAAAGTCTCACCATCCTTACCTCTATGGATCATTCTGGCTGAACTTTTTACAAGACAGATGTTTGTTCCCTTGGCAGTTCATGGAATTTTCAATATTCTTCACCAACACCATAGTTCAAATGCATCCACTCTTCTTCAATCTTCCCCATTAAATGTCCAACTTTCACATGCACAGAGGATGCAGCTCTGACACACAGCTTTCCTCAGTTTAAGCTTCCTAGGTTGCAACAAATACTGAAAATGAGTTATTTTCTCCTTTTGTGATTGGTATCAAAGGGTAACAATGAGAGGGAGTGTGCTTGTGAACAATTAAATTACTCTCAATAGAAAGTAGAATTTTAAGTTGTTACTATATTTCTCTAATGCAAGATGCAGAAAGGTGTTAGATTTCTCCTAAAAACTGTGATAACTTCCAACTACTCAGGAAACTTCCCATTCATTTATTAAGAGGTTGCAATGACGTGTCTTTGGCAACATCAATTGATTGCTACTCCAAGAATGATGGTTCCCATCTAGAACAACAGTTTGAAAAGGTAAAAAACTAAACTAAACAAACAAACAAAGAAAAAACCTTCCTATATCACTTTGAAATAAGTGAGGCCTACGTTTAGGTTATCCAAGACAGAAGGACTCCAAGTGCATTTCTTAAAATGAGAATAAACATGATTCAAATGCCATCTGGTTTTCAGACATCACCGAGCTATCTGAATGATGTCCTTGCCTAAAATCTGATGTGTCTGCCCACTTGCAGGAGTTGAATGCTAGATGGGGATCCCTTCAGAGACTGGCAGAGGAACAGCGCCAGCTACTTGGCAGTGCCCATGCTGTCCAGATGTTCCACAGGTGAGAATTTTCACCTAAGAAAGTGGTTACTGCTCTAGCATGCACTCAAAGACCCTTAATTGTTTTCACTAAGGTAAGAGCACAGCTCTTAGTGCAACTCTTCTCCTGGAGATAGAGTCAATTTGCAAAGAGAAAAAACAGTGTTTCACCAGAGAATTCCTCCTTTGGCACATTGAGACTCCAATGTAATCAACTTCAATTTTTCTAGTGCCCGAGCTTAACTCCTGGTATATTATTGGTCTTCTTTTTTTAATTACAGCTAATGAAACTTAAAATTATTGAACTAGAAGTAGACAGTACAGGACAATAAACACCAAGTTGACTATAACTGTTCATTCATCAATTATAATATTTGATTTCACACCTGTCTTCATTAAAAAAAGGAAACAAGCAAGTGAGCATGTTAACAAATATATACATCAAACACCTTCATGTGCACAAATGTAATTGTGAAGATTTGGGGAAGGAAACTGACAGTCAACTTGATCTGGCCATTCAAAATTAGTTAATATGGAAAACTGTCGAATTTCACATTACATATGCACCTCTACAGATTGTAGAGGCACATTAAAATATGCAAGGTTCACACTTAACATGACATTCTATAGATTTGTTCAAACTTGTGTTTCAACGTTTACCAGTGGTATAACCTCAAGAAAACATTTAGTCTGTTTAATCCTAGGAATAACAGTAGTGATCATGACTCTGGGGGTTGTAAAGATGAAATGACAAGGGAAGTAAGGTTGACTCCAACTATGAAGACAACCATGATAGAGATGCTTCCATAAAAGCTCAGCTTGCCTTCCTTTGCTACGTAGTATACATCACCCCCAATCACCAACCAAGTCACTCTTTCCTTCCCTGTGCACCAGAGAAGCAGATGACACGAAGGAACAGATTGAGAAGAAGTGCGAGGCCCTCAGGGCTGCTGACCCTGGATCAGACCTTTTCAGCGTTCAGGCCCTTCAACGTCAGCATGAAAGCTTTGAGCGCGACCTCGTGCCTTTGGGGGAAAAGGTGGGAGAACGTGTGCTACTGTTCTTTTCCAACACATCCCACTTCATGTTTCTATTTACCAGTGCTCTTAGGTTAACAGTTCTTTTTGTATTGTTCCATACATATTCATTGTGTCATCTCCTTAAGGTGAGGTCACGCATACGACATGCTGCACTACCGTTAACACAGAGGTAAACTATGTTGGAAGAAAACCCTCTGTTTGCCAAATGATTATATTATATTCTTTTGCCACTGTAATGTATTCCAGGTGATCAAAAATTGCCTGAAGCTAGTTGGATGTCATACTCAGAATGGCCAGGCCTATCTGTACCTGAGCATGGTACAAAATTTCTTCAACCAGGAATTAGTCGAGCTTCCTAACCCTCTCCTGACACAAACGTGAACTCTTGAGCTTGCCAGTTATACTCCAGGAGAAGTCAAAGGGGTTACATATTTTGGCATTATTGGGCAGAATAAAAAAAAGTGAGTGTATCTATACTAGGAAGATCTTCCCATTAAGAATCAGGATTAGTGAATTTGCCTTTAGCCAGTCAAGTCCATTAACTGTTCTACTCCACTAACCTGTTACTTAAAAAAATTAAATATAATAATATCAATTTTACCACTTTACATAATTACCATGTGAACTGAACTTGTTGGTATTATTATTTAGAAATAACATAATATGTTTTTTAACCATGGATGTCTACTTTGAAATACGTGAACCAAGAATCAAGTCTCTGCTTTTGCAATGGCTCAGGTGTGGTTAATCTCCAATTACTCTAGCCTGATTAAGAGAGCTCTGCTCCACCTTAGGTAACCATCCTGGGAGAAACAGCAGAGAGGCTATGTGAGTCACATCCAGATGCCACCGAGGACCTGCAGAGGCAGCAGAGAGAGCTGAACGATGCCTGGGATGACCTGCTGAGGGATACAGAGGATCGTAAGGAGGATTTAAATGAGTCCCAAAAATTCTACCTGTTCCTCAGCAATGCCAGGTAAACGTTATAAAGAAGATGTCCAACAAACGGAGTGAAAAATCCCCGTGTTGCCCCCTGAGTAGAGCTTAAAGAAGGGTAGGTGCAAGTATTTTGCTGTTCCCTGCTGTGTATTGAGGAAACCACAGTGTCCAGTCTCACAAAAATGTGAGTTTCACTACTCCAAACCATAAAATACTGAAGTTGGAAGGATAATAAGGCCATCTGGTTGGTATAGTGGTTAAGCATTGGGCCTATAACTGCAAGGTCAGCAGTTCGAAATCAATAGCAGCTCCTTGGGAGAAGGACAGGGCTTTCTACTCTCAAAAAGAGTTAGTCTCAGAAACTCACAGGAGCAGTTCTACACTGTCCTATAGGGTCGCTAGGAGTCAGCATTAACTCAATGGCAGTGAGTTAGGTTTGGAGGCCAGTTAAATCAGCTTCTATTGAATATATAGAATATATATGGCAGTGTGCCCTTCGTTATGGGCAAAGGGACTTCGTTGTATTCTGTTTGGGGGTGGGGGGTGGGCAGAAAAGAATGTAAAGAACCAAGGTAGAACATAATTTAGGGCCAAATGCACATCCTAACACACAGTAGTGGGAAGGTGGAAGTAGAAAGAACAGATGATCTACTGAAAACAAAAAAAAATAAAATGATAGCATCTTACAAGACCTAATCAATGGGACAGAAGGGACATACATAGTGGAAAAGCTGTGCAAACAAAGTCACAGAGTGTTGCTCATGGAGCATACGTTTCGAGATCAGAGGCTTATAAGAATTAGTAAGAGAGAACATTTTTCAAGTTGGGATCAAATCCTGGAGAATTTAAATATTTTGTTAATTCGTTTTAAAGATTGTTAGAGTTCAAAAACGACCTAAAAGTAAATACCTTATTGCGAAACTATCCCTACTTTCTTCCCCACTGCATTAGTCTACTAAGGAGGGGAACAATTAGAGCTGGAGTCCAGGATGTACTAGCTCACTGCAGTGTTGTTAGAGAAAAAATAAGGCACATTTTAGCAAGTGACCCTGCTTGCTCCTTCTCTTGCTCCACAATTAATACCTCTGGAATTATGTGGTCTTCTATGGGATAGAAATACATACCACCTAGGTCCATTCCCCAAATGCATGTTATCTCTGCAGATATAGATTCTATATGGACTTCAGGTTCCAGACCAAGTGCTGTATTCTTCTCTGCATGTAGTTTTACTCTTCAGTATTGCAGAAGTCATATTTACAACCTCTAAAAACCCCAGTCTTGTTTTCCTCCTTATGACACATCTGGTTTTCACGGTTTCTCTCTCTCTCTCTCTCTCTCTCTCTGTGGCTGTTAGTGTCTATCACTTGTTTGCTTTTATTCCTTGCAGGATAAAGTGTGAGCTCCTAGAACACAAGAATATGTTTGTTTGTTTTTTTATCAATGTTAGGTACTTAATATATATCAATAAAAATTAGTTCATTGAATAAATGGATGGTTTTATAAGACACCCTTCTCCTTCAACGCTGCACTGTCTAGCAAACAGGTCAGGACACTTTTCATGAGATGTTTAATTTAACCTCCATATATAATTTTAAGGTGAAGCAGAGCTCCTTGATATTTGCTCTCTGCAGAGGACAGACGTCGAGTCTTCAGTGGCTTATTCTTGACTGCTAGGAGTATGAGAAATACACCTCAATTTAATCAGTTGCATGTGTGTGTGTGTGTGTGTGTGTGTGTGTGTGTGTGTGTGTGTTTAGTGAGTAGAAGCCTATACTGAACTGTGTTATGAATAAAAGTAAAACAGAAAGACATGCTTACCTCATGTTCCATAGTAAGATAGAGCTTTATACTCAAGAAGCCACTGAAGAGAAACAAGGAGTGAAAGGAATAATTGAATATATATTGGTTCAGGATGCCAGAAGATTGAATTCCATTCCAGAGGTCTCCTTCTATTTACATCACTTTATGCAAATGAATTTCCCCCTTTCTACTCTACTTTCCTTATCTTTAAAATAGAAAGAAAATGTTCACATTTTGTGCAGGGTTGTTGTGAGAAGTAAAAGGTATATTGAAGAGATTTTTCAAATGCAAGGAACTTTGTCATTAAGTGACACAGCACAAACCACATATTTTAGATCTGTTAAGTATACAAGGAGCTTTGTTGAGGTAGTGCACTACACATTGGTCCACTAGCCACAAAATCAGCAGTTTGAACCCAGCAGTTGCTCCATCAGAGAAAGAGGAGGCTTTCTGCTCCCATAAAGATGTATAGCCTTGGAAACCCCCAGGGGTTCTATGCGTCCCGACTGTGTGATTATAAGTCAGAATTGACTTGATGACAGTGAGATTGGTTTGGTTGATAAAACATAAAACGTCCTACATCAAAGCTCTCCAAAATGGGTTAAAGCTTTGGGGGCAGAGAACAAGCTATTAAATATAAAAATTCTCTTTCTATTTTATCTATTCTTTTTTTAAAGTTTTGTTTATTTACTTATTAATCATTTTATTAGGGGCTCATACAACTCTTTTTTTCCAATTATTTTATTAGAGGCTCATATGACTCTTATCACAATCCATACATACATCAGTTGTGTAAAGCACATTTGTACATTCATTGCCCTCATCATTCTCAAAACATTTCCTCTACACTTAAGCCCCTGGCATTAGGTCCTCATTTTTCCCCTCCCTCCCCGGAAGCAGACTAGAGGGGGTGGGAAACTGCTTGGCTTCTGATATCAGACTCTCTTCCAGGGCCCAGATCCCACGGCTTTCCTCAAATCTTCCTGTTCCCACTATCTAACTCCTGCTCTCACCAGTGCTGATTAATGACAGGGCAACTGAGAATGTTGAAGTGTGACAGATTTGCCACAAACTAACTCTGGAACCTCGAGAAAATCCGTGTCTTTGGTCTCAGCTTTCATATGTACAAAACCAGGCCCCATCGAATTCCCATCCTAGTATAAGAAGCAGCCCGGTGTGCCCCCTTCCATAAACCCTGGGTCCAAACCTACTTGACATCTGTATTTATATATGTGTATAAATAGACGCAAAAATGTGAATATAAATACGAATGTAAATACCAAACTCACTGCCATCGAGTTGATGGTAACTCATCGTGACCCTGTAGGACTGAGTAGAACTGCCTCCCTGTGAGTTGTCAAGACCGTGACCCTGTAGGACTGAGTAGAACTGCCTCCCTGTGAGTTGTCAAGATCGTGACCCTGTAGGACTGAGTAGAACTGCCTCCCTGTGAGTTGTCAAGACTGCAATTCTTTATTGGAGTAGAAATCCCTGTCTTTCTCCTGAGGAGTGGCTGGTGGTGTCAAACTGCTGACCTTGCAGGAGCCTCTATGTCACCAGGACTCCTCGGAATTGCCTTCAGCAAATTATTGGACTTTTCTGAGCCTTGCTTCCTGACCTGTAAAATGTGACTGTATTTTTGTTTAAAAGATTAAATAAGATAACGAAGTCTATGCCAATGAAACTATTTTTTATAAAGAAATACATATAAAAAAACATAAAACTAACCCAAAACCAAACTCACTGTCATCGAGTCAATGTTGACTCATAGCAACCCTGCTGTAGGTTTCTGAGACTCAGATAAAGTTAGATTGATGTTAATCCTTCATATGAAGAGAAAAGTAATCAGTGGATACCTGTAGTGAGTTACAAGGATTTTTGTCCAATAAGTCTGTCTCATTTTCTAGGGACCTGCAGAATTGGATCAGTGGCATTGGTGGCATGGTATCATCACAGGAGCTGGCTGAGGACATTACTGGCACAGAGATCTTGCTGGAGCGACACGAGGTATTACTAGAAAAGCCATAGCCACTGATCACTGACCTCACAACGTCCCCCATTTTACAATTTTCAGAGAGATTGTCCTTACCCGTTCCTGCCCCTTTGTTCTACAGGAGCAGCATGCTGACATCGAAGCCGAGGCGCCCACCTTTCAGGCCTTAGAGGACTTTGGTATTGATCTTATCAGTAGTGGACACCAAGCCGGCCTTGAAATTGAAAAAAAACTTCAAGATATCAGACAAGAGAGAGACGATTTGGAGAAATCATGGGAACAACGCAAAAAGATGCTAGACCAGTGTCTAGAATTGCAGGTATGACAAATTCCCAATTCTTAAATGGAATTGGCCTTACTCTGTTTCTTCCATGCAATTTTATTTGGTACAAATTCTCAGCTCACTGGCTTTTCTGTGCTTAAGCAGAAGGACATCTCTTATTATCTGATATTAGTTTTTCCATTTTGTAGACTAGTGATTATGGTGCTCTTTCCTCTTATCCTTATTGGAATAGTTAAGTGCATTGGGGGTAAGCTCTGGGTGAGATAATTGCCATATAGGTATTCATTTTTATGTAGAACCTACTGTGGTCAGTGCCCTGGGGACACAACATTAGGAAGATAGAGGATTTTTTTTCTTAGCTAGTGAAATCAGCTTTGTAGACAGATAACTTTAGTACAATAAGATGATGAATTTGATTTGAAGCTAAAGAGGAGGAAATGATTAACCCTTTGAGGGAAGTGAGTAAGTGTGCCACAGGCTACCCTGAGGAATAGTGTTTTCTAAAGTTTTAAAGAGATAACTGGCCAGTGTTCACTAGGTGTAGACTATTTGGAAGGCCATTTTAAGAATGCATTATGACCTGTATAAAAACATAAAATAATGTGTTTAGAGAAGATTGAAAAAAACCTGAAATTCATGGTATGGTTATTAGGCGGGGTTGTCTAGAGAAACAAAATGAATGACACTCATATATGGATGAGAAGGAACTTCATATCAAGAAGTGATTCAATAACAAGAAAACATCCTAGCCCAGTCCAACTCAAGTCCATGGGTCTGGCTCTAGGCATGCTGCTCTTCACGTAGCTGTGGGTTGATGATGCAGGAATCAGGGAGGTCACATGCTGGTAGGTGTAGAGCTGCATGAATCCAAGGTCATTGGAAACATGATGGTGTGCTGACAGCTTTAGAGTTGGGCAGACCAAGTGGGGTCTCTCTCAGAGGCATGCACAGAGTTCTAGCAAGCAGGTAGTCAAAGGGAGGGGGGTGGGAGGGTTGCCTAGTGTCTCCCTCTCTCTCTCATAAAAAAAGGCCATACCTCTCAGGAGGTATCAGACTGACCTGATTGAGAGAGTAGACTCCACTCTAACATTGTCCTCTTTAGTTGTTCCAAGGGAATTGTGATCAGGCTGAGAGCTGGATGGTGGCACGTGAGACCTTCCTGCGGTCAGATGATAAGGGCTCCATAGACAGTCTGGAGGCCTTGATGAAGAAACGAGATGATTTGGACAAAGCAATCACTGCCCAGGTAACACCAGTTAATAGAATGGGTGCAGCACTACCTTGGTGGAGTGGTTACGTGCTCTACTGCCAGACTAAAAGCTTGATTTCTCCAGTTATTCTAGCAGAAAGATGTGGTAGTTATTGGAAACCCTATGGGCCAGTTCTGCTCTTTCCTACGGAGTCTCTATAGGTCAAATGGACTTGAAGGTCATGGATTGGCGAAATACCAATATGCGAGTGATCTCATGAGTTATAAGTATTTGGGTACCTGTAGAAACGCCGGAAAGCTTCGCAGTATTGTTTAGGCTTGCCCAAGTCTTCACTCTGTGATACAGTGTTGCCAAGTCACAAATGGTGTGTGGATTTTCCCACTTTAAGTTCCGTGGTGTATCCTTCCAGGGTTCAGGTCCAAAGACAACATATTTAGATTGTTGAGCTGATGAAAGAATGGAAAATATTGCCTCAGCTCATTGTTTAGGAGAAATGGAGAGACCAGAGACTTCATGGAGTTGTTCACTTAGAGTGGATTAACATTTGAACTAAGCAGTAAATTTCTTGTGAAATTAATTTAGCCCCTACATTTCATGAATCCTTATCAAGGCCCCGCTTTCTTGATCATAAATACGTATTTGTTTCTGTACGTTATTCCGTATTTGAGGCTTTGGCTTTCTTTTATTTCATTGTTAATGAAAAGAGCTCTCCAAATTTATGAACTACAGATATCACAAAGGCTGTTTTCACCCAATTAGACTAACTGCCTTGGAACAACCTCTCTTAACCAAAATGAACAACAATTACCTGTGCGACTTGTTGGATAAAGTTTGTTTCTTTGGTTTTTGTTTATTTTAATTTTGGCATATATTTAAGATCATAGTAGCTGTTTTATACACCAGGGGTCTCTCTGGAGTTTACCTCTTAAACGAAAACATTTCTATTTTCCTATTATATCTTATAGATAACCTAAACTTGTGATCTTCTTATATGAATGCTTACTCCAATCCTTTAAAATTTGCCAATGACAATTAAAAAGTACAGATCTGTTGGAGATTAGGTATATAAGAACAAGAACACTGTATACTTTTTGCACAAGTTTGCTGTAAACATGAAATTGCTCTGAAAATAAAGTCTAGAAAACAAATAGATGCACATATAGTTAGACATATGATAAGACTCGCTGTCATTGAGTCAATCACAATCATGTCAAATGGGTTATAATCTGGGCTGCTAACTGCAAGGTCAGCAATTCAAAATCACCAGTTACTCCACGGGCGAAAGATGCAGCTTTCTACTTCCATGAAGAGTTACAGTCTCAGAAACCCACAGGGTCAGTTCTACTCCATTGTATAGGGATGATACGAGATTAGATAGATAGATATTTAGATAGATAGATAGATAGATAGATAGATAGATAGATAGATAGATAGATAGATAGATATAGATAGAATAGATATATTAATGGCTAGATCTCCATCTCATCTGGGTTAGAAGAATGAGAAAAAAAATTTATAAAATGTCTCATTTTATAGGATAACTAACAGAAGTTTATTCGGTGTTGAAAATATATAATGGGCTTAAATTTCAAGAAAATATGCTTTTCAATATGGGATAAATAACTAGGTGAGGGAGAGGTAGATTTGATTTTACCTTCTAAGATATATTAGAAAATTTCAGAAGATAATTGGGCAGAATTTAGAGTTCATCAAAACAGCTGACTTTTAGAACTGAAGAGTCTGTTTCAACATCACAACCAGTGTAGCAATAACCCTCTTAGAATGGTCTTGGAGCTCAGTGTCTTACACATATCTAATCTACTGTGAATAAGCCCTGATTATTAAATGTTTCTTCTCTTGTTGAGTTGAAATGCACATAACGGTAAAAGCAGTTAACTTGGGGACCTTATCTCACTACCACCACCGCCGCCACCACCTCCACCCCACACACACCCAAACCACAAAGTGCACGTCTATTCCTTTCCAGGGGGTAGTGTGGGATTTCACCAGTCGTCTAATCTACAGAAATTGGCACTCTTTTATTTCCTTTCGCTAGGAGGGGAAGATCACTGACCTGAAATGTTTTGCTGAACGGCTCATAGATGATGACCATTATGCCAAGGAGGAGATCGCTGCTCGGTTCCAACGGGTGCTAGACAGGTCAGACCTAAATGAGTGCTCTGTGAGCTGCAGGGAGATGTAGAAAAGGGACTTTTTTTGCAAACCTTGAAGGTGTAGCTGACACGTTGGGTTCTTCACACGTCTAGATACCTAAAACTCTCAGGACACATTGGATTGTTTTTACATAGGCTGGTATATGGCATGAGAGCTCTTCAAAGTACTTTAGAAATTATCAGACTTAATTACGGCACTTTATATTTGAAAACTGTGTGAAAGGAAAAGTGCTAACCTGTTGAATGGAAAGAGTCAGTGATATGGTGTCAGACCTTCGGAAAGGCATATAAGGTAGCTAATGATCTTCGAACCCACCTTCCCGCCCCTTGCCAGGTGGAATGCGCTCAAAACCCAGCTGATTGCAGAAAGAACTAAGCTGGGAGACTATGCTGATCTGAAACAATTTAACCATGACCTTGAGGAACTTGAAGAATGGATCAGTGAGATGCTTCCCACAGCCTGTGATGAATCCTACAAAGACCCTACCAATATTCAGGTATGTTCAAAATAGGAATCGAAAAAAATTCACCTTATCCAGATTGTTGGTTAAATGAACATCCACTATGCTGACCACTCTCTTGTTGCTGAGGCCCCCGATATTGCTCTCGGGGACTTAGAGTCTACTGCATAATGAGACCCTTTAGATATCACCACCGCTTTTAGAAGTGATTAATAGAAACATTAACTCATTTTGTCAGCACTTACTTTATCCTGCTTCTTTAAATGAGAGAATAATGTGGTTTCTTTTGTCTTCAGAGGAAATACTTAAAGCATCAGACCTTTGAAAATGAGGTCTATGGCAGAGCTGAGCAGGTAGAAGGAGTAATCAACTTGGGGAACTCCCTGATTGAGCGTGAAGCCTGTGACGGCAATGAAGAAACCATGAAGGTAAGAGATTCAGCTCAGACTTTGTTCGAAACCCTAAAGACACTATGTTTTATTCTTCCAATGTTTCCCTGGGTAGGGATGTGGAATATAGTTTATGGTCAATAGCCTTTCCTCTGACTGTTGTAAGAAGAAGGAGGAATACAGTGATGCTTAAAGCTTCTGCTCACCTCATATTCAGAAGTTTGAACTCCAAGAAAATAAAATTTTAGTCTTAATTCCTAAGTTTTATCATACTTCCTAAATTTCCTAAGTCTTGCAATGCTTCCTTTAATTTTCTAGCCATGTTCCCAAGAGTCTTCAACCAAAAATTGAAATCTTCCTTTCTTTCCAATACCCCTGCAGTTTCACAGGTTAAGTATAAAGGGGTACTAAAATAAAAATGAAATTTTTTTTTCAAAACAATGTATTTTGACATTTTACAAAACAAACATCACCTTCAAAGTACTCCCCATTACACTTAATACATTTGTCAGACCTGAGATTCCATTCTTGGCACCATTTTTCAAACTCATCTGTTTGGGTGGTTGACAGCACCTCTGTCGTTTTTTTCTTCACTTCTTCTATGTTGTCAAATTACGGTCCTTTCACGTCCCTCTGCATTCATGGAAACAAAAAGAATTTGCACAGACCAAGGTCAGGTGAGTAAAGTGTATGAGGCAAGAGAGGTATCCTGTTTTTTGCCCAAAACTGGTGCACTGGGATGTCTGTGTGAGCAGGCACATTGTCATGGTGGCAAAACCAGTTCCCTGTCTGCCACAAAACAGACCTTTTTTGTTGCACACTCTTACACAATCTTTTCAGAATCTCTAAATAGAAAGCTTGATTGACAGACTTAGCTGGTGGAACAAACTCCAAACGTACTATGACCCTCATATCAGTAGAGCTTTTTCCTATTTTGGGTGATACCCCCTCATATAACTGGTCTAACATCTATGGCAGTCGAGTGCCAGCAAATTTGGAAGAGTTCCCCTCTCTAGAACCTCTTTTCACTATCCTCTCAGGTTGTCAAGATACTCAGCATCCTAATACTCAAATTACTCCTCCTTTTCTCTGGATTAGGGGCAACTGGAAGAACTGGAGAAACACTGGGACTACTTACTCGAGAGAACAATTGATAAAGGGCAGAAGCTCACTGAGGCCAGTCGCCAGCAGCGGTTCAACACGGGAATCCGGGATTTTGAATTCTGGCTCTCAGAGGTAATTGCACTAGATATACTGGAATGACGGGAGCTCCAGGCAGATGAAGATGAACCCTTAATTTGTATGAACGTGGAAGTGAGACTCTTTCCACGTAGTAAAAATGTAGGATATTCACTAAACTACTCGGTAATCTGGCAAATCAGCAGAAGTGGTGGGAATTCATGATAGGATATTAACTAATTTGGATAACTGTGTAATGTGTAATTTGGATAACTGTGAATCATAAGATGATTGTGAAGAAATTTTGAAGATTTGTTAAATAATCCATCAAATTCAAAAATCCCTTCTTGGTATCTCTAAAGAAATGTTTCTACCTCAAATGATAGAAAATGCATTACCCTTAACTTCCAAGGAAGACCATTCTACCTTTGGAAAGAACTCACCATGGGCATTTTACAGGATATTCAAATGAGCTTGCTTTAATTTTATCCCTTTCAAAAAGTCAAATTCACTACAGTAGCATTGATTTCAACACACACTAAATTCTCCTTCACTCTTCTCTTCAGTTCTTTCAACATGTTCTTCTTCATTTTTCACAGTTTTATTGACACTTCTTCCACATATCGTACAATTCAATAGTTCTGTCATATCATGAAGAGTAGTACAATCATTATCACAGTCAATTTTAGAACATTTTATTTTTGCTTGTTCTTATTGTTATTTGTAATTCTTTTTTAATTGTGGCAAAAACATTCTCCTATCCAACAACTTCTACTCTTTGTGTTGTATAATCATAATTGATATCCTTTTTCAAATGATACCACCACCATTAAGCATAAAGTTAATGTTCCCTAAGTAAAAACTCTTCCTCCTTCACCCATGGTAACCATTAGTCAAGATTGTTTTATTTTTTCTAGTAATTTTCTTGATATAATATTCACATATCCTACACTTCCATAGCTAAATAACTTTTTTAAAGAGGTGTGTATAAAGCATTACAATCTAGATCTCCCTTTCTCCTCCCATGTTCTCTGTTTGCTCCCCAATTCCCCTCACCTTTCCTACCCTCTGCCCCTGATACATCGTTGCATCTGTTATTGTCTCTATACATTCACTCCTTCTGTGCTTCAAAGCTGGAAGGCTAACAGAAACAACAAATACAAAACAAACAGAAAGAAAAAAATTATATAAAGATTTTTTATGAAAACAAAGAGGTTAGAAGAAATTCAGCTTAGGTGAATAGGGAGGTCACTTAACAAGTATGATCTTTTATCATGGTTCAGTCCACCATAATCAAGTTTACAATACTCTCTGTCAGATAGTAAAGCTGTATGGGTCCCTCACCTTTGACTAGAGGGGATGTGTCGGAGGTTTAATCTGACTAGATTCTCTGCATATGGATTTGAGGCTCCCACTGTTCTCCATAGCATTCTACGAATTGGGTGTTCACAATTGAAGCTCTGATACTTTCCCTTTCACCAAATTTGGATTTTGTAATCAGCATCTTTGAATCATAGAGGCTTGTATGCTTCTTTGATGGTGACTTAATTAAAGGAACCTTTTTTTTTTTTTTTTTTTGGAGCTGAAATTAAATGGGAGAACAGAATCCATCTGTTTGTCTAAAGTTGATATGAACAACTTTGGCGGTCATATTATTGCAGAAACAAGTACAAAACCAACAAGAATGACAACAACAAAAACCCCAAACAACAAACAAAACAAACAAAAAAAACAAAAGAAATGAAAATGATAAACATTGTCAGTCACCCTCCTGGTGTATAAGGGAATTACACTGACAATATCAAGAAGTTATCCAATGGCATAGAGTTTAAGGTACTGTTGCTATGAGGAGTATATGTGAATATAGACCAACTGAGATGCTATCCATGAATTGTTGCTTTGTACAGATTGATTTCTTAATTGAATAAGGTCTGCCTACAGGGAGCATGGCAGTTGGTGCGAGAGGAAAATTCCCTGTACTATTTCTTACAAGGGCAGATCGTTGCTTATCAGATTAATACCTGCCATATTAATGCAAAGAAAGCATGCGATACTAAAGATATAGTGGTTCTGGGTCCCTTTCATTGAAGGCCCACTAAGCCAGTACTCCCACCCAAGGTCCAACGGCTGCCATTTCCACAGCCCTGGGGTGGCCATCCTTTGATTCCTCTCTTATCAGAATATTTCAGTCATAAATTCAAAGGTAAAGTTAGTTTTGAGGTAGCGTCTAATTCATTCAATTAGACTTCCACATCGAGTCCCTGTGGTGTGGTCCTTGGGGAATGACAAGCTCCCAATACGACCAGCATCTAAGGTCATCATGGCACTTAGTCCATGACATTGTTCACAGAGGCTTGGGTAGAAACATATTCCAATGTCTACCCAGGAACATAGAACCAGGTTTATTCTCTCTTAGGTTCCCTACAAGTATTGTTTAGCAGTCCTTCCCCATGTGAAGATGTGAGGTTACTCCTGCACATTTACCCATCATACCCACTAATAGAAATACCAGGACTTCCTCTAAAAGGAAGATGCTCCTCTTCCCTGGTCTTAACTTGGTTTTCCAGTAAGGTTCTTGTCTCTTTCCTGTGGAAGCCTGTGATTGGTTGCAGCCCTGTCTCAATGTTGTATAGCATCACTTCAATGGTCTTTTCCCTTTTCATTCTTCGTGAAAGGTGTGAACCTGGCCAGTGTAAGGTCTCTTTCAAGGCGGTTCTTAGGAAGTGCACATAAGAGGGGTGGTGTATGGCTCATAGCCAGTAGGCTGACTTTCTACCCTTTTGTTTGGGAATAGGTCTCTGGTCTGTTAAATTAATTTTTCTCTTTATAATAGTGGACTCATGAAATATTTGTCCTTTTGTGATGAGCTTCACTCAACATAATAGATTCCAGGTGCTTCCATGTCTTACAGTGTTTTATGCTTTCATTGCTGTATTTTAGGTATTCCATTGTGTGTATGTACCATAGTTTCTTTATTGATTCTTCCACTGTTGGGTATTCAGGCTGCTTCCAGTTTCTTGCTATCATGAATAGTCCTGTTATAAACATGGGATAGCATATATCCACTTGTATCGTGTCTCTTATTTCTTTGGGGGGCATATGCTCAATAGTAGTATTGCTAGAATGTGTGTTATTTCAATTTCCAGTTGCTTTAAGTATGGGCATATCATTTTCCTTAGTGTATGTATGTATTTATAAGTCCCTCAATAGTGTATTTGAGTTCCATTCCCTCTCCAGCATTTGTTGTTTTCTGTTTGTTTGTTTTAATTGGGCTAACATTGTGTGTGTAAGGTGGTATCACATTGTGGTTTTAATTTGCATCTCCTGGATGATTAGTGATCGTGAACATTTTTCCATACGTTTGTTAGTCATTTGTACTTCACTTTTGGTGAACTATTTGTTCATGTCTTTTTTCCACTTTTTAATTGGGTCATTTGTTATTTTCTTATTGAGCTGTTGTAGAGTTCTGTAGATTTTGTTAATTAGACCCTTGTTCAATGTGTCATTAGTAAAAAATAGTTTCCTAAACTGGGGGCTCTCATTTTACTCTTTTGATGAAGTCTTTTGATGTGCATAAGGAATGTAATTTCAGCCTGTCCCAATCATCTATTTCATCTTCTGTGTGTGCTTCCTTTATTCTACTTGGTAGTCTATACATGCCCATCAATAGGGTTCTAAGTTTGTTCATCTTTCTCATTAATGATCCCAATAGCTTTCAGGTGTATACTTAGGTCTTTAATATATCTTGAGTTCATTTTCGTGCATGGGGAGAGATGTGGGTCTTGTTTCCTTCTTCTGCATATACAAATCCGTTTTGTCCAACACCATTTGTTGAAGAGGCTGTCTTTGTCTCATTTAATATTTCTAGGTCCTATTTTTAAGCTTAGTTGCCTATAGGCTGATCCATTTATGGCTAGGCTTTCTATCAATTTGTTTCTTTATTTCTTTTTTTTAATTTTTATCGCTAGTTGTACCAGTACCATGCTGTTTTGACCACTGTGGTTATGCAGTAGGTTTTTAGATCAGATAGTGTGAGGCTTCCTACTTGGTTCTTCTTTTTTTAAAGTTTTTTGCTTATCTTGTCTTCTCCCTACCCATATGAAATTGGTTATTATTTTTTTCACTTATTTAATGAATATGATTTTTATTTGGATGTGTATTGCATTACATCTGTAGATTGTTTTAGGTAGTGTTGACATTTCCACAATATTCCATCTACTTATCCATGAGCACAGGATATTCTTCCATTTATGTAGGTCTTTTTATTGTTTGTTTGTTTCTTGTAGTAACGTTCTGTCGTTTTCTGTGTGTAGGTCTTTTGTTTCTTAGTTAGGCTTATTCATAAGTATTTCATTTTTCATGGTTATTGAAAAGGGTATTGTTTCTTAATGTCTTTTCCACAGCTCTCTTTGCTGGTATGCAAGAATGCAATTGATCTAGTTGTTAGTTTTGTATCCCTTGATCATGATGTTTGCTGTTAGGTTTTCATTTATGGCTTTTATTATCTTGAGGAATTTCCTTTCTATTCCTATTTTGTTGAGTGTTTTGATCAAAAATGGGTATTGGATATTGACAAATGCCTTTTCTGCATCTACTGATATGATCATGTGGTTTTTATTCTTTGCCTTGTTTATGTGGTGGATTACATTGTGTGTTTTTGAATATTGATCTATCCTGAAATGAATCTCACTTGGTCATGGTGAATTGGTTTTTTTGGATATGATATTGGATTTTATTGACTAGAATTTCATTGAGGATTTTTGTATATGTGTTAAAAAGGGATGTTGGTCTGTAACTTTCTATCTTTATGAGATCTTTTCAAGTTTGGATATGAGTGTTATGCTGGCTTCAAAGACCATGTGGGCATTTGTTGTCCTCTTTGATGTTCTGGAATAGTTTGTGTTCTATTCTCTGAATACTTGGTAGAATTATCCTGTGAAACCATCTGTGCTTTTCTTGGTTGGAATTTTCTTTATGACCAGCTCTATTTCTTCTTTTGTTAGGAGTCTGTTGAGTTTTTCAATATCTGTCTGTATTATTTTGAGTGGACGATGTATTTCTAGACATCTGTGGATTTCTTCTAGATTGTCTAATTTGTTTGAATGCAGTTTTTTGTAATAGTGTTATTGTTTTTATTTCATTTGTATCTGTAATGTCAACCTTTTCATGTCTTATTCTGAGTAGTTGCATAATTTTCATTTTTTCTTTTAAGTTTGCTAGTGGTCTGTCAACTTTGGTAATCCTTTCAAAGAACCCGCTTCTTGTCTTTTTTTATCCTTCCATTTTTTAGTTTTGTTTTCTGTATTGTATGTATCTGCTTTGGTCCTTATAGAAATATATCAAATTTGTTTACTATACTATACCCAGTTATGAACACAATACCAGGCAGGAAGTAAAAATTTAATAAATGATTTTCAGGTATATATATAAAGGCTGGGATTATTTCCTTAACCCTTACTGGGGAAGATTTGAAGAAATAGCAGCTAATTATATTTTCTTTTAAGACAATTTTTACATTTTCTACTCTATTTACTAATGGTGTATTATTGTTAAACATTTTAAAGTATCATTCTATTTGTTGGTAGCTACAATATTCACTATTGTGAAGGAAGAAGTCATATATATAGGGACAGAGTGCTTGTTTATTTTCTATTTTTATTATTTCTTATTTTTCTATTCCCAGGCAGAAACTCTGCTGGCCATGAAAGATCAAGCTAGGGATTTGGCTTCAGCAGGCAACCTGCTCAAGAAACATCAGCTGTTGGAAACAGAGATGTTGGCCCGAGAGGTAAGTAGTCATGGATTCCCAGCCACTGGCCAAAATGGAAGTGCTAACTCCTTTCATAGAAACCATTTGAGAGCACAGCCTTATAAAGCTAATCTTAGTATTCACTGTCAGCACTTATTCTAACGGAGTCAGATCCATGGATTTGGGAGAGTCATTATAACAGTCACTATTAACCAATCATCATTAAGCTCTAGATTGTAAGACTCAAAAAGTGAATCCCAAGATTATCTGCTTATCTTTTCATTATTATTATTAATACAAGTGTGCAAATGCACTGTTTTCCAAATATTTTCCATTTACCATGTCATTATTTTTAAAAGTGTATTTTGTGGAATTTAATAGATAAAAATGAAATCAGGTGGAGACAGGTGAAGTTGTAAAGTATGGATAAAACTATGCATACATTCTGAACATTCCATGAGGGTTCCAGTGGAACCCTAAAAGTAACCAGAAATTGATTGTGAGAGTTTGACTTCACTCTAGCGAGGATGTTTATTACCAATCTTACTCCATGATACATCTGTATCATTAAATAGAAGGAAGGAAAGGAAGCCAAAAGCTCTTTAAATACACAGCCTCAGGACTTGCCTATGTCCGCTGTGCTATCACAGGATAATAAAATTAAAAAGAGATGCACACACACACAAAAAGACCTGCCACAGAGAAAATTCTGACTTATAGTGACTCTATTGAATGAAGCAGAACTTCTCCATAAGGTTTTCAATACTATAAATCTTTATCGGAGAAGCCAGCCTCACTTTACTTCCTTGGAGAATCTTAGATAGAAGAAAGGCTGTAAAATTTCTGGTGTGTTGTATGGCCAGTCAAAAATATTTATTTTATTATACTCTCTGTCGCTACAAAATTCACTGCTATGAAGGACAAAAGTCATATATATGGAGAGTGCTTGTTTATCAAGATCTTATTGTCTATTTAAGGAGTTAGGCTAATACAGTTGAAAACATCAGGCGAAAGAACAAGAAGCTAAAAGTCAAATATAAATGGAAGTAAAAGCCATATTGTCCTTACAACTCTATGGTTTACTCAATATCCAACCTGAGTTAGAGTACACCATGAAATTCACTATCATCAAAAGCAATCCTTTTGTCTTAGACTTTGAGTTTAAAGCAGAGGTAACCACAAATTTACTTACTGTGACTCTATGTTCATGGAGTAACCTGGATCTGTTTTTTAGGATGCCCTCAAGGACCTGAATGAATTGGCTGCTGATCTGCTCTCCAGTGGCACTTTCAATGTAGATCAGATTGTGGAAAAAAGGGATAATGTCAATGAACGTTTCCTGAATGTCCAGAATTTGGCTTCTGCACACCATGAAAAACTGAAAGAGACCTATGCCTTGTTCCAGTTCTTCCAGGACCTAGATGATGAGGAATCTTGGATAGAGTATGTACTGTCCACTCAAAGTAGGAGAAAAATCCAAAAGAGTAGATGGTCCATCAAATTTGTTTTTATTTAATGATGGAATCAAATATTTGAGTGTTCCTTACAGTCGGTATTACTTTTTAATAATGTTTGCTTCTGCCTAAAGTTAACATGGTTTTATTTTTCTCAAATTTCGTCACTGGGTGTGGATAGAGAGAGATGAGCATAGAGGGAGTGGAGAATAGCTCACATGGATGCTGAAAACAAAATGAAAAGGCGATATATATTTGTTCTAGATTCTAAACTGAGTGTTGCTCCAGGAGACTGCTGGTCATTTACATAATTTATCCAGCTGTCACAATGCTGTCAGTATCTAATATGTCTTATACAACTGGATTGGATAGAGAACATTACATAGTTTCTGTCCTGCTTTCATTGTCAATTCTCTTTCTTTTAATAAATAATAATATCTGGAAAATTTTGACACGCAAAATTCTTTTTCCTACTTCCTATTTAATGTGCCTCATTGTGTTCCTCTCCAACAAACTTACTAGTTCTTACTAGTGACCAATGAATTAAAGGGAAGCACCATACATAGAGCTTTTTCCTCTAACAGTTGTCTCTACTTTTAGGGCAATAAGCAGACATTCCTAAATAAATTTAGAAACAGTGAAATAAGGTAATATTGCATATGTAGTTTCTTACTGTTCCTCATGATGGTTTTCCCACTTTCTATACTCTGAACCATCCTAATTTTCATCACTCTTATCACGTCAACCTGTGATATTGCTTCTTCTTAAGTATATTATTTAGGATGGTATTTTTGTGAAAATGGTTGAGAACAGGATGTAACATCAACTTGCAATGGCCTAAGTCAGAAATAATGTCATAAGCCAGGGGACAGCATGTAACAATAACTTGTATTGGCATGTCAGAAACAGCACGTAACATTAATACTTGTAATGGCGTAATTTGTAATAAATATCAATTACAGTCAGACAGTAACTGATATTTATTAATAATTTGTTGTTGTTGTTGTTTATCACAGCAGAACTTACCACCTCCCTAGTTCCAACCACACACACATCTACACATGTTTGAAACCATTGCTCTAAGATGACAGCTTTCTTTTTCTTACTTTTTCCCAGGGAAAAATTGGTCCGAGTGAGTTCTCAAGACTATGGAAGGGATCTTCAAGGTGTTCAGAACTTATTGAAGAAGCACAAACGTCTAGAGGGAGAACTGGTGGCACATGAGCCTGCCATCCAGGTAGGAATCATAGAATATCTGAGCTAGAAAGACAGAGATCAATTAGAGCTAGTCATTCATGTTATGTATAAGTATAAGGGGACAATAATATGTGAAGGTTGTGTAGGTCACATAGTTAGATATTGAATTTACACATGTTCTCATCTCCTATTAATAAAAGAATTTTTGTCCAACAAACCATGGTCTAACCCAGGAGAGTAACACATGTAATACTCCTGGTACAGTTGTTGACAATTAAGATGAAGATTGGGACATGTGGAAAAGGTGTTTCTGAACATATGACAAATTTTGATTGGCAGCAGTGTCAACCTATGATCCCAATAACCCATAAAACAGTCCATTGAGTAATCTGGTACAGATGCTGAAATATTTATCAAAATACCTAGATACATTTTAATTCTCTTGGGATTTTTCAGGATAGCTCCAAGTCACATACACTTTAAACATTATCTAGAAAGTAGGAGAGAGAGAAACTTTGTCAGGGAGGGGCCACAGCTAAAAAGGAGCAATTGTTGGGTGCTGAAACGTAAGCGATGCTTTCTTCAGAATGTGCTAGATACGGCAGACAGACTCGGGGACAAGGCTGCCGTGGGGCGTGAAGAGATCCAGGAACGACTGGCTCAATTTGTTGAACACTGGGAGAAACTGAAAGAGTTGGCAAAGACTCGGTGAGTGAGAGATAGGAGTCTCTGTTCTCTCCTGGGTTGCCCCAAATCTGCGCGTGTCCTTAAAGTTTCCTATAGAGTAGAGCTCTGGTAAGGTACTGGGTTCTATGTTGTTTGGCTAAGAACTCTTAGCAGTTCAAAACCACAAACTGTTCAGCAGAAGAAAGGATTTCTATTCCTGCCCACAAGGCAGTTCTACTTGGTCATATACAGTTGCTGTAGGTTGGTATTGATTCTATGGAAGTGAATTGTTATTTTGGCTTGAGATTAGATAATATAGGAAAGTGGTTATACTCCTATTGTCTTATAATTTTTCTTATCCTTTATCTGGTTTTACATCTATTCCTACCACATTACAGAGGGCTTCGGTTGGAAGAGTCACTAGAATATATGCAATTCATGGAGAATGCTGAGGAGGAAGAAGCTTGGATTGGTGACAAGGAAGCCTTGGTTGCCCGGGAGGATTCTGGGGACACATTGGCTGCTACTCAGGTCAGCAACAGTTTCAATCGACACATTTTCTTTTCTTTAATTTGGGCCTTTTATAAAGCAGCCAATATTTTCACCAGTGAAACCTTAAACATTTTCATAGTGAGGACAGAAATGTGAATAATTCTTCCAACTTCAAATATCAAGTTCAAAATATGAACGTGACTTGTCCAAGGCCATAGGACCACTCAGGTGTGAAAGCACAACTCAAATCACATTCTCATGATCTCTGATGTGTCTTGAGTCAAAGTCATCATTGATAAAGATGAAGAGACCTGTTTTTACAGGGATGGATTTTCTAACCAATATCAATGATCATAGAGCCATCTCTGACTCATTATAATTCCATCTGTGCCAGAATAGAACTGCACTTCATAAGATTTTGAATAGCTAACTTTTCAAAATTAGGTTGCAAGCCATTCTACCAAGATGCCTCTGAGTATTAAACATTTACACCTCCCATAAAGACCTAGATTCCCCCAACATCTCCAAATTAGATGTTATGCTGATTTGGAAAACTTCATCCAAAGATGGCCATTAAAAATATAATTTTTGGGGAAGGGCCTTGTAAATGGAGTCTAGCACATATAGATACCATTTCTATGCAAGATTGTCTTTCCTAATGGACAAGTTTTATGTGTTCTTAGGTTAATAAGGATTTTGACAGCTTCTGAGACAATGATTGCAAAATGATGACACTTCAGGGAGCAGGAGAACTGTACTGATGGGAGAGTTATCAAAAAATTTTTGACAGTTTATGTTTCTGTGTTATCTGACATAAAATAAAGGAGTATTAGACTGTCAAAAGAAGAAATCTTAGGAACATAAAACTCAAAGTACCAACTTCTTTTAGTTGGGGACATTTTAAAAGACATTAAACATTGATGCATTAGTTATTACTCAAAAGATTTTTATTAAAAAAAGAAAGCGGGGGGTGGGGGTGGGGGTGGTGGAATCATATCATCGTCAATGAGGGTGGCGCGTGACGGGGACCCAATGCCTATCTCTAGACAACTGGACATATCTTGCAGAGGGGTAGTGGGGAGGAGATGAGTCACTTAGGGTTCAGTATAGCAATAATGAAACCCACAACCTTCCTCTAGTTCTTAAACACTTCCTCCCCCCAACCACCAGGACCCCAATTCTGTCTTGCAAACCTGGTTAGACCAGAGGATGCACAGCGGTACAGATGGGAATTGGAAATGCAGGGAATCTAGGACAGATGAATCCCTCAGGACCAGGGGTGACAGTGGCAATACCAGGAGGGAAGGGGGGGTAGAAAAGGGAAATTGATCACAGAGATCTACATATAACCTCCTCTCTGGGGATGGGCAGCAGAGGGGTGGGTGAAGGGAGACGCCGGCAGTGTAAGATAAGATATAATAATAATTTATAAATTATTAAGGGTTCATGGGGGAGGGGGCAGTGGGAAGGGAGGGGGAGGGGAAAAAAGGAAAATGAGCTGATTCCAGGAAGCCAAGAGGAAAGCGAATTTTGGGAATGATGAGGGCAACAAATGTATAGGTGTGCTTTACACAATTGATCTATGCATTGTGATGAAATGTATGAGCCCCAATAAAATGATTAAATATTTTAAAAAAGAATATGATGCATCAAAAATATGTTTCTTTTAAAAAGTGATTTTATAAGAGGTGTATTAGTTAGAGATTATCTTTATAATCTGTATAAAGATAAAAGTTATCTTTCTTTAGCCTGTATTTTTATGAGGTGCTTGAGGAAAAAAGGATAGAATATATTTCTGACACAAAGCAGGCAATAAAGCCAGCAGTGGAGGTATAGTGCTGGACTAAGGGTGGTTGAGTTATCCTGTAGGACAGCACTAGGGTCTATGAAGGAATATTGTCCTTGTCCCTCTTTCTCACCTTTCTCTCTATTTTACAAGATCCATAGGAATCACAGCCCCATAAAATAAACAGGAAGAAAAGATTTGAAGTGATATTCAAATAGAATACACTTATACTTAAACACTTTTCCAAATGAATGTTCAGGGATATATCCAAATTTTACATAAATATATCATCTCAACCAAAAACCTAGTACCAAAATCCAGAAAGACATAAAGTCACATGGTGCACTAGCAACTGTGTCCCTTATATTCCTTTGGCTGTTTTTGGTAAGATGGTTCTGTTTGACCCAGGAAACATTTCATGGAATGCATTTAGTAGAACTATGCAGGAGGAAAAGCAGCTCTGGTGGCATTGTAGGTTGAGCATTGTGCTAACAGCAAGGTCTGTGGTTCAAACCCATGAAATGCAACCTTAGGAGAAAAAAGAATGTTTGCTCCCATAAAGATTTACAGCCTCAGAAACCCTAAGGAGCAGTTCTGCTATGTCCTACAGGGTCCATATGAGTCAAAATTGACTCGATGTCAAGCAATAACAGCAACATCCAGTAGGGAGTAGACACTTTCTTCCAGTTTAGGTGAATTAGATCAGGTGAAAGACTGCAAAGGGAACAGGATGTATGTGGGATAGCTTTTCAGCCTGAAGCATTTGAGTTCTCACTGATTCATTTTTACAGAGTTTGCTAAAGAAGCATGAAGCTTTGCATAACGACTTCGCTGTCCATGAAACCCGAGTACAAACTGTGTGTGTTCAAGGGGAGGACATTCTGAGTAAGGTGAGTCAATTCGGGGATTCAATGTCAACTTTTTTTTTTTTCATAAAATGATTGGTCTAACTTTGTTACTATTTTCTACACCATTTTTATTCAACAAATAATGATCTGCCAAGATTTTTTTCTAGACAGTTTTACCTTCCAGTTCTCATCAGGTGCTTTACAAACTTCCGGAATCTCGCAGCACTTCCAGATCGCTGTGAGGGATATGGTGCTGATAAAAATGTATCAATGGCTTTGGCTGCCGAGCACTGCTGGGATCTGAAGACATTTCTTTGTTATCTTGGAGGAAAAGGACAACACGGAAGGCTTTTTATAATTTGAGGCTTGTTCGTCTCTTTAAATTCCTGTTAATGCAAAGCTTCGCCGAACTAAGTGCTATGCAGAGATAAAATCCTCTGTTTCAGTAGCCTACACCAAGAAGAATGTCCTAATTACAGGACAGCCATGAGACTATTGTTTAGTTGCTGCAATAGAAAAAGACCATTTGAGATATATATGGACAATAGGATAGCTGCACTCTTTAACAGGAAAGTACTTAGATTTGGGCTGAGAGCTTTTTAACGATACTAAAGAACTTCCAGTTTCCTCTCCTGAAAACTAACCTGCCATTCCCCTTCTCTCCTGCACGTTGGTGCTGTAGGAGGGCAGTCAGCAAAAGGAGAAGATCTCTGCCAAGATAGAGGCCCTCCATGAAAAGACGCCTAGTCTGGCCAAGGCAATAGCTGCTTGGAAGTTGCAATTGGAGGACGATTATGCCTTTCAGCAGTTTAACTGGAAGGCTGATGTTGTAGAAGCTTGGATAGGTATGGGACTCGAGCCCCTTAGTTTGGAAAAATGCTGATAAATCCCCTGTGTGTAACGTGGGGGTAGGGGTGTTTCCTGCATCACTTACAGCACCTGTTTACAAGTACACTTATTTATATACACACATAGATGAACACACGCAACGAAACATGCTGATGAGGTGACTGCCAGCATTGCAAAGGAAGCAGTTTGGGGATTTCATGTGTGGTATACCGAAAGGTAGAGCCAAGGGGAGATATTATAGGAAATAAACTTCGTTTGAGTCAGGTCTAATTCATAGATAATCTGCATATTTTCCTTTGTTCTATAAAATACTCATTTCTCTTGGCCTTACCTCTGTTTCTCAGCTTTGTCCTGTATAAACCTAGGAAAATAACCCATTGGGTTTCTCTGTTCCCAGATTCTAGGAAACAGCCACATTGACCATTGTGAGACTATAGTATATAGATTTTTCCCCTCATGACCGTAAAGAGGCAGACCAACTCTATTTCTCCTCTTAGTAATTATTTTTGCCTTTTAGCTGAGAAAGAATCAAGCTTAAAGACAAATGGTGATGCTGCAGATCTTGATGCCTTCCTCACTCTCCTGGCCAAGCAGGTGAGCAAGGGCTGCATTGCTGGGAGATGCTCGTGATTCCTAAGACTCGGGTGACACAAAGTTTAGTTTTCTGTCTGAATTTAATTTAATCTCTGAATTTTGTGATTTTACTGTCAATAGGCTCTGTAATTGGTAGTGCTATTAATTTGGTAAATTCATTCCTAACTTCTTGCCTCTCTCTTCTGTCTCCTTCTGCTTTCATATTCTTTCTCCCTCTGTTCCCTGTCAAATATCAGATTTTAAGACTTACAACCAGTTGTTAAGATGTATCAACTAAAACCAAACCAAACACACTGCCATCAAGTAAATACTGACACATAGTGACCCTCTGTGGGTTTCCAAGACTGTAACTGTTTACAGAAGTAGACCGTCTGGTCTTTTTCTCATACAGCTGCCCATAGTTTCAATCTTCCGACCACGCAGAGCACGGCCCAAATGGATGAGTGGTCTAATACAAGGCACTGTGTTAAAGCTGTAAGCAGAACTCCCTAAATTTTGATATCAACATTTCTGCAGAAAATTCATTTGTATATCTGGGTTTATATATCTATATATTTATTATATATAAACATATTTTGTTTAGATATTTATGAGATGCTAAGAAGAGCACTGCTACTAATAAGAAAACAGAATGTAATGAGTAATATAAAAGAATTTTAGAAAGATATTTGCTATGGGAAGCCTCTAATTTTATTAGAATAATTTGGAAAATCATTATGATCTAATCTTTCCTGATCATTAAATTTACATCTAGCCTCATACCCAAATATAATATGTACAGCCACCTGAAACGCAACTATAAATCCAGCACCAAATATTCACTTCAACTTCTAAGTTATAGTTCCATTTTTTTCTCCCCAATTCAACTGCTACTTAACTCTCAGCGTGTCCAGGGCTAAAACCTAGTAGAACCCATGTGCACATGACACCTTAAACTCCACCCTGTTTTCCCATTCACAGCCTCTTTGTGGGTCTTTCTCAGGATACTTTGGATGCCAGTTTGCAGAGCTTCCAGCAAGAGAGACTGTCTGAGATCACTGACCTGAAAGACCAGCTTGTGGCCGCTCAGCACAGCCAGACTAAAGTCATAGAAGAACGCCATGCTGCCCTGCTGAGGCGCTGGGGCCAACTACTGGAAGCCTCTTCAGCCCATAGACAGAAGCTTCTAGAGAAGCAGTTGCCCCTACAGAAGGTAAAAAGAATATAATGATGTATGATCTAACCAAACCAAAACCCACTGCCATCAATTCCAATTCATAGCAACCCTATGCAACAGGGTAGAACTGTCGCAGAGGGCTTCCATGGCTGTAATCTTTACAGAAGCAGAATGCCGCATTTGTCTCTCAGGGCGTGGCTGGTGGATTCAAATCACCAACCTTTTAGTTAGCCCTGAGTGTCCAACCACTGAGTCATCAGGGCTGTTGGATGGATGACCAGGCTTCTGTGAGCTTTATATTAGCTATGGAATCTAGAAAGAGTAACTCAAAGCCTGGATTAGATAATCTGCAGATATTTGAGTGCTGTGAGAGCAATCGGGGAGACAACTTGTTTTCATCCTTGTTTTGCTTGATCAATTCTCCAGCTGACTGGAGATGGATGCCACATACATGTAATGGAAGGGGAAGTTGAACCCGAAGGTGGATATACACCGTGCATGGTACAGCTGAACCTGCCAGTCAGGAAGCCAGGTTGTCTGAGGTTGTCTCGACCTCAAATAAAAGGTTTATTGGATAAATGCAATGTTGATAAAACTGATCTCTTACACACCTGTCTTACTGAAGAAGTTTCTATAAGTTACTTAACATCTATGAAACTTTATTCCTTTATGAAATGGAGATACTATTATTATCCCAGCTGGTATTTCTCAATTATTATTGCCAAAAGATACAATGGATATCAAAATGCAGTTTGAACCAGGAATATATACACAAATGTAAGTGATTAAAAGGAATAAATATACAGATGTAAGCAATTAAAAATGTTAGTGATTAAAGTTAAGATATAAATGAAGATAGCTAATGTATTAAGTGTTGATCTTAAATGATACTAGTCAGTAAAGGAAATCAAGATGATTAATGAAATGGCTGAGTAATCTTAGAACACAAGAAAACGTAATACCTGGCAACAAGTATAAACAAGGTAGACGGGGTGGGAGGAAACAAACATACAAATAAATATCACAGCGAGTCTATACCCTTGCTTAATTTTTACTTTGTCAAAAGACACAGGTCCTATGGGAATACATCTTAACTGAAAACACTGTCAATTAAATGTGCACCTTTACACACATATATAATCTTTCATATAAAGAGAGGTCTCACTTTTATTCTGTTTGAATTCTCAAACTGAAGATAGTTTTGAAAATTTATTTTTATTCGGGAATAGTTGTAAACAATTCATTTAGTACCGAAAATTATGAAAAGAAGATGAAGTCTGTTCTAGGTTTTTGTGTTCTTTCTGGTTGGAGGCCACCATTTTTGTGCTTCCACGACTCCAACATTTTCAATATTTCCTGCTGAAATAAGCACAGAATGAGAAATAATATCCTACTAGATTCACAATCACCCCCTCTAGTTTAGTCAATTATTTTCCTCTTTAAACCTCATGTTTAAAACCAAACCTAACCTGTTGCCAGTGAGTAAATTGCGACTCATAACAGCCCTATGAGACGAAATAGGACTGCACGTTAGGGTTTCCAAGGCGGTCATGTTGATGGAAATGGTCCTGGTGGCACAGTGATTCGGAGTTTGGTTTATAAGCTAAAATGTACTGGTTCAAACTTACCAGCCCCTTTAAGGGAGAACGATGTGGCTGACTGCTTCTGTGAAGATGTTTAGCCGTAGAAGCCCTAGGAGGAAACGCCTCTGTGTCCTGTAGAGTCACAACAAGTTAGAGGGACCCGACAGCTACAAGTTGGTAATCTCCATGGCACCACTACGGCTTCTTATCCTTACATACTTAAGGAATGAAAATGCCGTTTATACTTGCTTGAGTTAAATAATTTGAAATTATGATATAATGACCCCAAAATCTATCATTCCTATTAAATATAATCAGGGTTATTTTTAATCACCTACTATTTGGGGCTTCCATTTCTAGTCAGCTGGAAAACTGATGAATCAAAACAAAGATAAAATCAATTTGTCTTCCCAATCCCTCGCACAGCACTCAAATATCTGCAGATCATCAAACCAGGGTTTTGAGTTACTCTTTCTAGATTCCATAGCGACTCCAAAGCTCTCTGAGGCCGGGTCATCCATCCAACAGCCCTGGTGATTCAGTGCTTAGACACTCGGGGGTTAACTAAAAGGCTGGTGATTTGAGTCCCCAGGCTACTCCATGAAAGACAGGTGGCAGTCTGCTTTTGTGAAGATTACTACTTTTTTTAACAATTCATCCTACTTTTCTTGTTCAGTCACTCAGAAAACTTATCCATTTGGAGCATCTAGATAACTCTGTCTATATAGACAGATTCATGCTGAAGATATAGTTCAAAATGTAGGCTATGGATTTGAACAGAGGTGGTTTGATATTCTTCAGACACAGAATGAGACTTGAACAAAGTTTAGAAGGAAGATAAAAAAAATTATCAAAAGGAGACAAAAAAGAGTCAGTGGGGTCATAGTCTGCAGAAGCTCAGAAGGAAAATAGAAGGAGGGAATGAAAAAAGATGGGCAGATTTGCTTGGTATATGTATTTAATAATTGATCCACTCTTTTATTCAACGACCAATTTTAAACATTGTATTAAAATAATTTTCAACAGTTTTATTGGCAAGTAATTTACATATCATATAATTCAATAGTTCACTCATTCAATAGCATCAAGGAGAATTGTACAACCACCCCCACATCAATTTTAGGGCACCCCTACCCCATGGTTTAATTGCCTCCAAGATAAGTTATGCAATCACAGTCCATTCTAGTGCTCCCTCATCCCTCCCATCTTCATTATTTACTCCTGATATCCCCTTACCCTCCCTATCATCTACCCACTCACCCCTGTATTCCCTATAACCCCTTGTATCAGTTATTTCTCCTGTGCTTCACAGCTGGGAGACCCAAAAGAAAACAAAAAAAAAGAGAATCGCACTAAGGTGGTAAGGACAAAAACATGGTAGTATACAGACAAAAATACAAATAATGCATAAAAAGGAAAAGACCCCCAAAAACATTAAAAAAAAAACAAAAAACAGTGAAGAAGTTTCAGAGAATTCTCTCCACATAACTTCCCCAAGCCTTATCATCCATTTTCCAGTCCTATTTCTGACCATTGTTTTCTTCCAAGCAAAGTACACGAGTAGGAGCACCACTCAAAGCTCTGCTCATTATGAGGCGTGTCCTTCAGGGAGGTCCGAGAAAGGGACTGCAGTGCTGTCTTGGCCCACATTTGAGTGGTGCCTGCATATTATGCAGAATCAGTGGCAAACCAGCACAACTTTCCACCTGCCTTCTCAAGGAAGTGCTTATGAAGCCAGAGGTGCAGGCTAGGAAAGATAATGTGACAGACGCAGATACCCATTTATCTTTCACTTTAGAAGGAATATCATGGCACGCCCACCTAACTGGACCCGTATAAATTTCATTCAAGTAGAAAGCATTTGAATTTGTGTTGGGTTGATTTCCCATCTTCTAGCACACAGATGCCTGACCAGTAAGTCTAGAATGACTAAGGACATGGCATGGACACCATATTTTTCACTTCCTCTGACTGTGCAAGTGGGGAGGAGAATCCAACTCCACACCAGCCAAAGTCTGATCGTCTCAGGCAGATTGTCACCTTCCAAACTTCCTCTACCCTATTTTGACACCAGCTGTCCCTCCCATGGCTTGCTACTTCTCTGCTGGGTTTAAAAATCCATTGAAATGATCACACCGAGCTCACTGGCATTGCTTAAAATTAATGGGCTATTTTAGTTAGTAGTCTATAGTGAACAGTTGGGATCAGGAAAAATTAAGAATCCAGCCCAGTTGTCCAAAGCAGCACCCCCTTCTCAGTCATGCCAATAGCCATGTCTCGCTCTGATACTCAACCTCTCAGCCACATAAACTCTTGGCCTCTGTCCTGCTATGGCAGGTGTTATAAAGATGCTTTACACCGATACAAGTTCAAAAGGTACAACATTCTATAGCCAGCATCCTGCCTGAAGGCACCCAGCTTTCCTTGTTCCATGAGCTGGGGATCCCACGACTTTGTCTCATGGTTTCAGAAAGGGGATCAAGTTCGTTGCATACAAATTATGATATGGGGCTATATCATCCTACCTGAGGTAGGATGGTGAGGGTGTTTGAATGACCTTTCTAGCGGAGAGAAACTTCTTCTGGTAATCCTTTGATACTCATAACAGCCCTATGAGACGAAATAGGACTGCACATTAGGGTTTCCAAGGCGGTCATGTTGATGGAAATGGTCCTGGTGGCACAGTGATTCGGAGTTTGGTTGAGAAAAGGGGATTGCCCAGATCAATAGCTACATGTCAGTTACCAGGAGATAGATTACTTTGCTCAGCAATAAAACCACATCTGGGACAGCAGTTGCAGTTGGAGTCACCATGAGTTAAGATTCCACTAATCCACATTCATCTGTTTTGTTGCACAGGCCAAAAAAAATAAGTTAAATGGATAGGTGGTGGTAATAACCATCTTTGCAATCTTCAAGGATTTGATGTGGTACTAACCTGCAATCTGTCTAAAAAGGTAGTATTTATTCTGATAGGGAAATTCTAATGACGTATTGGCCTTTTCTGCCATTATAGCCCTTCCTCCACATATCAGGGATCTAGTGTGATAGTTCTGCCAGTTACTGAGTATTTCCATTCCAATTATCATTTGGAACTGGGGGAACAACTATAGGATGGGTTTAGGGACTCACTGGACCAATTATGAGATGGATTTGAGCTAAGATTCCATTAATAACCTGCCCTCCAATGATACTTACATAGCTGGTAAGCCATAGTGATGTTTGGGGGTCTCCTTTGATGCATGAGCTCATTTCCTTTGTGCATAAACTTGGGTCCATATGGTTCTTCTCATGACCAATATTCTTATCTTAAGTTCGAGTGAACAATGTAACAATACAGCAGTAGATCACTCAGCCTATATGTTCAGGAAGTACAGTCATATGAGAAGTTAAGTCAGAGCAGTAATGATTAAAGGGTTTTATACTCAGTGTCTACTTATTTTTATTATATAATGTAGACTCAAACCAGAATTCATTAAAAGTCCCTCTCTCAGGAATTTCTCCTGTGGCAGGGAACTAAAACCTAAAATTTATAAATGAAGCAAGATATCTCCTCTTTCAGTGTGTTAATCTGGGGAGATTAGAGAAACAAATTGTGTGTAAGAAAGAGCTTTATATACAAGAGCAATTGAATATTGAGAAAATGTCCCACTCCAATCCAGATCAAGTTCATAAGTCTGATGTTAGCTTATGTGCCCCATACCAATCTATAAAGTCCTCTTCAGACTCACAAAGCACATGCAGTGATGCCAAATGCAGGAAGATCACAGGCCAGTGGGTGGAAAGTCTTGTGGATCCAGTGGTGTTGTAAGCATCTCAGTGCTGGCAGGGGTTTCCATGTGGCCACTTGGCTCCGGAAGTCTGGCTCCATCAGCCTCTCTCCATGTGTCTTGTCCATAGGGATGTCGCATAGGGAGTGAGCATGTGTCCTGCCTCCAGTGAGCTTTTATCTCCTTTGTTCCTCCAAATGAGGCCATCAAGCTGGGACCTAGCTGACAGACTAAACTCCACCCTTTTACTCTTAATACTCTCAAATTGACACCGATTAGATAACTACCATACTCAGTTTCACTCAGCATAATGCTTGCCACGTCCATTCATGCCATGAGTTGCTTCGTGATTTCATCATTGTTTTTAGAGCCAGGCCTACTATTCCATTGTATGTGTGTATCCATTCTTCTAATTATGGAATTTAGTTGGTTTCAATCTCCTTTCTAATGTGAGCAGTGCCATGATGAGCCTGGTGTGCATGTGTCTGTTCATGTTATGACTTTACTTATTTAGTGTATATCTCCAGCAGAAGAATTGCTGGATAATATGCAATTTATATTTTCAGTTGTTTGGGGTAGCGCCAGATTGCTTTCCAAAGTGGATACAGATATTTACAGTCTCACCAGCACTGTATGAGAATTGCAATCTGTCCACAGCTTCTCCGGTATTTGTCATTATTTATGTATTTATTTAACTTGACTGCCATTGTATAAGTTGACTCAAATCTGGGACTTGATTGAGGGGCTGTGATTCTTCATGCTGGTGATTCAACTCGGAATGATAATTGTATAGAAATGTAACTGTTTATCATATTTTCTATTTTATTCCTAGCTATACTGTGCTTAAGGAGCCAACACCGTAAGTCCATAGGAGTCAGACTATTCTGATTACTGTTTTGGTTCTGTTGTCCATATGGTAACCACACACAGTTTGTCTTTGTCTATTAAGTGCTGCCAGTTTACTCTTACCAATACAGGATTCAGTCATCCCATTGTAGGAAATAGGAAATTTAACATCGGAAAGGACCCTTACCATATTCTTGGAATATTAGAACTAACGACAATAACTTTAAAGGACATTTAACCTCCTCGGTTGTAAATTATGAACAACTTGACAATTTCCACCATGGGAAAATCACAGGACCAGGGCTGAGTAGTTCTGATTCACATGCCTATCATCTGATCACCTGGTCAGAGTTTTCCCTTTTAGAGCACTGGCCCTGCAAATACATGATGACAGACGTAATTTTTTAAGTTCAGTCTTCCCTTCCACTAAGTAGCTTGTCCAAGGTAGATGACAATCTCTTCTTTTCTCTCTTCAGGCTGAAGATCTGTTCATGGAATTTGCGCACAAGGCTTCAGCTTTCAACAACTGGTGCGAGAACGCTGAGGAGAACCTGTCGGAGCCAGTGCACTGCATCTCCCTAAATGAGGTCCGGCAGCTACAGAAAGATCACGAAGCCTTTCTCGCCTCGTTGGCAAAGGCCCAAGCTGACTTCAACCATTTGCTTGAATTAGACAACCAGATTAAGAGCTTAAATGTCCCCTCTAGCCCTTACACCTGGTTGACCATAGAGGTGTTAGAAAGGATCTGGAAGCACCTACCTGATATCATCAAGGTAACTTGGGGCACAGCTACACTCTTTGTTGTTACTTGACCTTTCTCTCTTATGTCTCAAAATGAGATTGATTTAGAACACACGCAACATTAATTCTCTTCCATGACCCTAACTAGAAAAGCTACTCCCAAATGGGATTATGAGGAAGCTATGGGTTAGGATTTATAACAAACATTTTGGAAGACATGATTCAAGTTATAGCATTATCTTTAGATGCCAGATCTGTTGTTACTGTCTTTTCCCCTTTAAGGTTGCTCTTTGTTCTATATAATAAAATGTGTGCCCTCTGATGTTTGTCTTTGTTAGTGAGGTACCTGGTTTTGCATTTGGTACTAGTGTATGCTTCATACATTTATGAGAAATAATGTGGAAGTGCAATGCATCTGCCTCTTGAAGATTGATTAAATTTAGAAGAGTGAGATTTCAGTTGCTCATAAGAACTAGTTCTTCTTCTGGAAAGAATGGTCTGGCCTGGGTACCCCACAATCTGTGATCTGTGGTTTTAGGAATGGGAACAGGAACTGAAAAAGGAGGAAGAAAGACAGGTCAAGAACTTTGAGATGTGCCAGGAATTTGAACAGAATGCCAGTGCCTTCCTACAATGGATCCAGGAGACCAGGTGTGCTGTGTTAGCCTCAAATGTATGATCCCTGTGCTTCACACCCCATTCACAGTAGAGCTGAAACACATGTTTGAGGGGTGAAAAGGTAATTCTATAGCATTTATGCTGTCCTAAAATCACTATGCTGTCTATGCCTATGTTTGGAATAGATTGCTTTCTAAATCAATCCTTGGCAAAAATCAAGAAATAAGAATTTCAGTCTGTTACCCACTATTTATCCTTCTGTATTTTCCCCAGAATACTCTTAGCTTTTTTTCCCCTGTAATTACATTAAAAAAAATAATTGGCCCTTATGTTTGCATGCTTCTTTGCACCTTAGAAAATACTCTTATATGCATTACCTCACTCATCTTTCAGAACAACCTTGAAAATGGTGAAGTGCAAATTTTATTGCCATTGTTTCCAAGTGAGAAAAGATGTTCAAATGGATAAATTATCTTGTTCAAGGTCACATAAGTGTTTATCAGCACAGCCATGAGCAGCGCTGACTGTGAACACCTAATATGAAGCGACTATGTTGCCTACCTCCTAAAACTGTAATGAGAATCAAGGAAGAAGATATATGCTCATTGCTTTGAGTAAATGCTATACATGTGAAGATAACATTTTTCATATCTTGTGGGGGCAAATGACCCAGAAAATTAGAAGCTTAATGGAAATAATAGTTTAGAATAAATGGTCAAAATTGGGACACCACTTCCAATTGTGGAGTTTAGGGGTTAAAGTGCTAATTTACAAAAGATATGATATTTACTATTTCTACGGTAAATAGACCATAAACAAGAGGAAATCTTGTGGCATGGCTAAATACCAGGTGGCAGCAGACAGAGGAAGCTCAACTCCCTGTCTTTTGCCTCTGACTTTGGTTCCTTTATCATCTTGCAGCTTGGGCCCCTCCCTGACATATTCCAACACGCCTGTGCTCTCGGTCCCGATGATTTCACAAAATATTCTGTGCGCCTTTACTTGGGGAAGCCTTTAGGAAAAGTACCTTTAGTACTGTGTTACTAAAAGGTTAGAGAAGCCTCATAAATCTGAGGAAACAGATTGTTGAAATAATCCATCCTAACAGACAATTTCCCTTTTCTCTCTCATATTCCTGTTTTGGACCTCCGTGACCAGGGCTTATTTTCTCGATGGGTCAGTATTTTTTATTAATATTTTTATGGTGCTATGTCCTTTTCTGGAGGAGTTGTCAAGGAAGACTTTTTACTGAGCTAGATGTATTTCATCACAATATGATAGTACCTGAATAAAAATGTGAGGAGACACAGAGAAACTAGATAGACTAGATCATTCTGAAGTACTAAGCCAGATGATAGAAGATGGAATCATATCTGCATTAGGTCCAGGGTATGTCTGTTGATAAGAACGAGGAGGTGGGTATTGGAGTCTACTCGAGGTCAGACAAGGACAGGTCTTTCCCCCTTATTTTCAATCAAGCAAGATGACTTATAGACAGAGGGGTTGGCACTGCCTTATTACTTAGGGGTGCCATAGCACGATACCACAAAATGTCTAGTTTTAAAAAACAAAAGTTAATTTTCTTATATTTCTGGAGGCTAGAAGCCCAAATCAAGGTATTGGCCAGGCCAGTTTCTTCTGAGGCCTTGGAGAGAAGAACTGCTCGATGATTCTCTCCTAAATTCTGGAGACCGTTGGCAATCCTGGGCATTACTAGATTCACCTGCTTCCATCATCAAAGGGCCTCTGATTTCTTTCTGTTTGTTCTCCCCTTTAGAATATACCCATAAGAAATAATTAGAATTAGAACCCACCCTAATATGGTATCATTTAACTGATAATATTGTCAAATAAACACCCTATTTCCAAAAAAAAATTATTTTCACGAGGATTGGGGTGAGGACTTCAGCATATATTTTTGAAGGACACAATTCAATCCATAACAGAGACCATGAAAACGTCCATGCAACTTGGGACAAGTGGAAATAGAGAAGTTTAGGGCCTTTGGATTGTTATGTCTGTATGAAATATTGACCTCTGGTATTATGAGTAATGTTTTCCTCTGGTTCATAACTAGATCTTTGCTCAAAGAAACAGGAACACTGGAATCCCAATTGGAAGCAAATAAAGTAAGTGGCTCTTGTTAATTGGTTGAAGATATCGCAAGAATTAAAGAGTGCGAAAAAGAAAAAAAAATCTCATAGGACATGATGATACTTTTAATTAAACTCTCTGGTTGAAACTCAAGAGTTTAAGACTCTAGTTCTAACTCAGCCATCAATATGCGTCCAATCATAAGCCACTGTATGGATATGCACCTCTGTTTACTTTTATCTCGTTAATTGAATTTGCACTTACTTTTTTGAGTTGTAGTAGGGATGAAATAAGGGAAAACATGTCAACGTTCCTAGTCTACAATATGGAAGACTGGAAATTGTGATGTATTGAACCTTCAAACGTCTTCTGAGTATTGGGTGAAGCTTTGTGCTGAGCAGTATTTCTCAACGTTATTTTTATAATTGCATCCCCATGATAAAATTTTAATTATGTGATTTCCTTCTTATGAGAGAAATTACCAAAAAAGAGTAAAATCATGTCAGGTGAAATGGAACATCGAGGAATCTGGTGTCACAGTGCTTAAAGTGATGGGCTGCTAACTGAAAGACCCACAGCTACTCCACAATGAAAAGATGTAGCAGTCTCCCGCTGTGTAGATTATGGCCTCAGAAATTCTGGGACTGCCCTACTCTGTCTTATAGAGTTGTGTATTAGTCTGGGTACTTTGGAGAAACAAATCCACAGTGACTCATGTATAAGAGAGTTTTATGTAAAGAAAATGTGCATCATGAAAACATCCCAACCCAATGCTGCCCAAGCCCACAAGTCCAACATTAACCCATTAACCCAACACCAGTCCACTAAGTCCTCCACCTCACAAAACAGAGGCAATGATGCCGACTGCAGGAGGAAAGCTGAGTCAGTGAACGAACAAGCATCTCAGCACTGGCAGGGGTCTCCACACGGCTGCTCCAGCACCCAGGGTTGCATCGGGATAGGTCCACGTGGCTTCTCCTTGGGGATGTCTTGTAGGAAGTCAATCTTGCAAGCAGAAGCAGGGAACTGCTAAGGCAGCTGCACCCTGGAGCGACCATCACAAAACAAGAGACCCGAGAGCTAGAAAGGCGAGGCTTCACCACCTGTTTATCCCTCCGCCTTTCAACCAGCCCCACATGTGATTATCGGCCAGGCTGGCACAATTAACTAACTCAAGTTGCTATGCATCAGAATCACCTGGAAGGCAATGGGATTGGGAGGGTTGATTTTTGGATTGGGCACAAACCATTTTAATATTTAAGATTTTTTTACTACCCAATTCACCTCTTCTTGAAGACAATAGCTCCCCATTAAGAAAGCATGGAATTTATTACATAGAAAAAGCTTGTACAAATCCATGAATGATAGGGAACAGACAATATAAGTGTGCCCAGTCTGATGACTGGGCACTTAAATGGTCACGGGAGTTCCTCTGCAATTAATGCAGGTAATTCACGAAATGGAGCACTGAAGTATGTGACTAAGTCTTAGATTTATGTAACTATGAAATTGCAGGTATCTTCGCAGTTATCTCATCTGGCCCGTTTCATAAAGGAGAAAGAACTTCGAGAGTGGGGTGATTTTACTGAATAGTCCATTTTTACTGATGGTAGGATAATTGAAGTGAAGCAATGAGGAGGCAATTCTAAGTCATTTTCTTTTGTTCCCCTTCCCCAACACCTGGCATGGAGCCAGTACCCTGGGTAATTGTCTTTCTCCCTCTCGTATGCCTCTCCAGAGGAAGCAGAAGGAGATCCAGGCCATGAAGCGTCACCTGACCAAAATTGAGGATATGGGTGACAACTTGGAGGAGGCACTAATCCTTGACATAAAATACAGCACCATTGGACTGGCCCAGCAGTGGGACCAGCTGTACCAGCTTGGGATGCGGATGCAGCACAACCTCGAACAACAGATCCAGGCCAAGTACTGAGGGCTGGGGAAGGTTGAGGATACATTTTATTGGGTGCTATTGTAAAAGCAGATATAGATAGCAAGTAACTAGATAGTTTGGCCAAGTTCTATTAAAACTTTATCTATGAGCACAATATTTTGAATTTCATATACTTTTCATGCTTTATAAAATGTTATGTTCTGACTATTTTTAATATTTAAAAGCTATAAACAATTCTTAATTCAGAGACTGTATAAAAGCTAATGGCAGGCTAGATTCTACCAACCCTTGATCTTGCATAATGTCTATTAAATTTTCTCTTTTTTTTGTCACATACCATGTTTCCTGACAATAGTTTACATCCTACTTTATTGATTTCCTCCCCAACAGGGATACAGTAGGTGTGAGTGAAGAATCACTAAAGGAGTTTAGCACAACCTATAAGTGAGTATAATTTCACAGTAGAGTTCTGTATTTTCCAAACATTTCCTATTGAATTAATGTCTAGGTATGTCAACTAGGTTCAATCATTGGTTTTACTGTGTCTATAAATTTTTGGATTTGTGAAAACGCGTTATTTCCATGTTCAAAGCATTATGTGTCCCACTCCACCTACTGTGTGGGAATCACACAAGGGGCACCAACAGTATACTTATTTAGTTCCCTGACAACCTTGAGAAGCATTAGTGAAACTCCAGCTGAGGCACAAAGAACTTGTCCTTTCTCCTGTTATCTGGGTTTCTATTAAGATTGATGCAGTGTTTTTCTTCTTCAGACACTTTGATGGAAATTTGACAGGGCGGTTGACTCACAAGGAATTCCGATCATGCCTAAGAGGACTCAATTACTACTTGCCTATGGTGGAGGACGATGAACCTGAGCCCAAGTTTGAGAAGTTCCTGAATGCTGTTGATCCAGGGAGGTAGGCGAGCGACCAAGGGCCTGCCCACAGGAGTCCGTGAGGCTTGGAACAACAAGTTCAAATGCTAAAAAATGTTCCAAACATCACAAAATGAACTAATCTTAGAATGGGAATTATACAACAAACCAATAAACATAAAATGCCATTGCCATTGAGTCAATCCTAGCTATTATAGATACACTGGTCAGTCTTGGGTACCCTTTCAGAATAGGCTTAGAAGTCAATGATTTAGAAATAATTCGACCAGTGGTTATTGGTGTTTGTTTGGTTTTATTTATTTATTTTTTCAATTTATGGTTGGTGTCTGCTCCACAAATCTCAGCGGTTCTGCTGAAGGAATTGTGAGCAGAATTCCTTCATGTATTTGTGGTGCTAAGGAACATGGATGCTTCAGACGCCACAGTTTTGTAAAGGTGGGAATTGGTGTGGGTTGATCACTGTGGGGTCAGGACATAAATGCAACAGAAGGAAACTCTGGCTGGTCCTGAACCACCCTCACAATTGTTGTTATATCTTCACCCAATCTTGCAGCCACTGTGTCAAGCCATCTTGTTGAGTGTCTAATTTGGGAAGAATTTGTTACGATATAATTAGAGATAATTACCTTCTGATTCCAAAAGCAAGAGAAGAGGATAATTTAATTTCAACACTGAAGGGAAATTAGATTGACTAACACATGTGGAAACAGAGTCTGGAACTTAAGAATCAAACAGCATTTATTTAGCTATAAAGCGAGTCAAGAGGGAAAACAAAGTCAAGTCCAGAGTCTTAGTCTCTGAGAACTCAATTGGAAGAGAAACTTGGAGAATTCGTCTTCCCTGTCTCTGAGACTGTGGAGGATGAGACTGAGTCTTGAGAGGACAGAATTCCTGATCCATTTTTTTTTCTCCACAGGAAGGGCTATGTCTCATTGGAAGACTATACTTCCTTCTTGATCGACAAGGAGTCAGAGAACATCAAGTCCAGTGATGAAATAGAGAATGGCTTCCAGGCTCTGGCAGAAGGCAAGGCTTATATTACCAAAGAAGATATGAAGCAGGTCAGATTTTGGCTCTTTCTGTTCTCGATGTGTTATCACTGCCATCTAGATTGGGGTCATCTCGCACCTGCATGCTTACTGTCGACGGCATTTCCTTTTCTGAGACTTCCCCTTGTGCAAGATACCTTTATTGTTGTTCCCATTTCATATGTCTTGGCCCAGTTCTAAAACCTATTTTGGTTGTCTATTGACTACTGGAGGTCGATCTAAAATTGGCAACTCAGTTTTTAAGGTTCTTTCTTTTCTTCTTCTTTTTTTTTTTTTAGTTTAATAAACCAAATTTAGGGCGTGGAATGAATAATGTGATCAGAATCAATTCGACTCCAGGAAAGAGCTGGTTGGAGAGTTCAGTTGGTCTTCATGATTTGAAACCATAGATGTATAAAGAACTGTGCCATAAGAACAGGACTGGCTTCTTTTTCTAGACCCTCTCCACCCCCTGATTTTAAGGGATTTCAGCAAGCCCACGAAATCAGCTTTCCTTATACTACAGTATATCTCTCTTTCTGTGCTTTTCAGGCCTTAACTCCAGAACAAGTGTCATTTTGTACTTCACATATGCAGCAATACGTGGATCCACAAGGTCGAAGTCACCACGCCGGCTATGACTATGTGGGCTTCACCAATTCCCACTTTGGCAACGGATACAACAGCTCCTCGTGAATCATAGAAAATCCTACTGTGGTGGGATGTTTTAGAAATGATGGGGGCAAGTGAAGGGGTGAGAAGTTGGTTTTGTGTGTGTGTGTGTGTGTGTGTTCATTACATTTATTTCAGGATCTAATAGAAGCCAAGCTTGAGAGGCATAAGGGGTGGAAGAATTGGAGGAGAGGAGGTTATAGGCTTGTTTTAAATGTACCTAATCATTATTAAAGGGTGCAAGTCTTTATTTTGTATTTGTTATGTTCTATATATTTTTATTATTGTGTTTTTCCTAATTATAGAATAAATAAATTTTCATATTGTATTTTTGTAATTGTTGTTACTAAACACAGTATAACATAATGTAATTCAACAATTTCTACATGTCCAATTTAGTGACATTGTTTATATTATTTAAGTTGTGAAATTATTCTCATCCTCCATGACTGAGTTGTTCCACCCACCACCAAAACTCATTGGCCCCTACATTTTCTATCTAATCTTTTGAGTTCCTGTAGTCAGTTTTACTCAGATAGGTCTATATTAAAAGATCACAATCCTCAAGCTAGACATAATTTACTATCCAAGGTGTTAGAAGATATTTTTTTAGTTTAAAGTTCAAAAGTTGTATCAACGCAATAGTTTCAAGGGATTATTAAGCCTCCATGCCTCCAGAAAAGCTGGATTCCATGAGAATTTTTACTTCTGTTATACATTTTCCTTCTTTTAACCAAGATTATTCTATAGAATCTTTGTTCAAAATGTTCACTATTGGTAACTGGGCACCATTCGGTACATGTCTCATTACACAGGAAGCAGTTGTTCATGGAAGCAATTAGCCACACCATCTATTTTCTCCCCTATTCCTAACTCTCCTTTTTCTTTTGCTCCAGACAAATAGAGACAATTGATTAAAAATAGCATTCAGTTTTTTATTATGGTGAAAATATACACAATAAAACATTTCAAGTCAATGACTTCTGCATGTTTAATGCAGTGATATGGATTATATTCTTCCTGTTGTACAACCATCGTAAACTCATAAAGGCAATGCTCCCTGAGCAAAAACTCCACCTTTTCTCCCTTTTCTGACCTACGGTAACCACTAACAATCTTTGGTTTCTTTACACATTTGATATTTGATGTGCTGGGATTATACAGCATTTTTCCTTTCAGCAACTGGCTTATTTCATTCAGTATACTATTTTCAAGGTGTCTTCATGTGGTATGTGCCAGGACTTCACTTTTCTTTATGGATAATATTTCATTGTGTGTGTAGGTCACATTTTGTTTATCCATCCATATGCTAATCAGCATTTTGTTTATTTCTACTTTTTGGATATTGTGAAACATGCTGCGATGAACATTAGTTTACAGGTTTCTGACAGAATGCCACATCTGCATCTGTAGCTTAAAAAGATCCCTTTGACAGACATTCCTCCCTTTCTTCTCTCATCTCGTGACCACTTTGAACTCACTGATAGATCATGAAGACCCTACCTTTGTAAAGCCTCTTGTGTTGGTTATTTTCATCAGGTTCTATCAGCACGGTCCCAGTTTAGGCCTGCGTTGCCTTTCTTTCAGGAGACGGCAATGGGTTTCTCACGGATCTCTTGCTTCTGGGGTCTTTATGCTGTAGCTCATCGTCCTCTCTCTGCTGGGTCACCTTCCCTACATTGTTTCTCAAATGACACTGCATTCTCTGCTCACATGTTTTCACTGTCCGGTTTCGCACTTCCAAATGGACTGAATCGAATGCAAGCTATAAAGGCTGGTGCTGCCCCTAACACAAAGTCTTAACTCTGACTCACTTTTCAGAGTCATCAGTGGGGCATATGTAGTCCTTTTGACAACTCATCAGGAATTGGGGCATTCTGACTTACCTCTAAGCTTTATTAATGTTCCATCAAAATACCCTTTTCCTTCACTCAGTGCGCCCATGTGTAAGTACAACTTCAGACGTGAAGGCGTCTCTGATCATCTGCCTTGATCAACCTGTCCTTCTAAAAGCCACCAGTATTTTGCTTACTAATAACCAGTTGCTGTCTAATCAACTCTGCCTCATGGGGATTCCATATGTGTCAGCAAAGGGGCTCCATGTGGTTGCCAATAGCTGATTTTTAGGATCTTTCTCTGAGGTGCCATTGGGAGGATTCAAAGCCCAGCATTTGCCTAGCAGAGCACATTAATCATTTGCACCTACTCACTTGGGATAACATGTCATTAACAGTTGTAATTGACATTTATTGCAAGATTACTATAACCTTGCTATCATACCAAGTTTTTGCATGCATGCTTCTTTAGTCAGCAACACAAAAGAATGAAATCTTAGGTGAAGACATGGAAACAGAAAAAGTAACTTACCAAGGTCTCACATCTAGTACGTTCCAGAGCCCACATTGAAGCTCCTGCCTGTTAGCTGTAGGAGTTGATCACTCTTCTATTTATTCCTAAGAATGCCTGGCACTGTGAACACTACATTTCAGGTAGAGAAGAGAATAGGCAGGATAGAAAAGCCTGCCACAAATCTAACAGGATGGTGTCCTTGTTGGAGAAGTGTAAGTGACCCCCATGCTGCAAAGTTTCCTAATGCCCATGGTCATGTGGCCACTGGAGAATGACATCTAAAGGAACCTAAGCAATAAATATATTGTTTGAAATAAAATCTACCCAGCTAGAACTGGTTAAAAGAAAGGGAGCAAATTAAACCAGAGACAGCAAAAGACGCATATTAACATGATAAAAAGACTCTGGTGGAGGACAGAGAATATCCTCTTTTCACTGAGGATAGGATTCAAACTGAGCTTTCACTTGCTATTCACTGACTTTAGGTTCTTGGGAAAAGATTCTAGGTCACATGAATCTAAATTTTTGCAGCATTCCTGATATGGTCACATGAATCTAAATTTTTAAAGCATTCCTGATATGGTCCCTGTCAGTCCTGCCTTCAACATGATCATTTCAAGCTTCCTTGATTTTATTCAAATCAGTTCGAAAGTTGTCAATAAATTGGGTTTCAGCAACTAGGGTGGCACCAGAGAATCTGAAAGTAAAAATTAATATCTTGAATTCAATGTAGCTATGGTTGGCAAGCAGAACAGCGAGACCAAACAGCCCTGGTGGAAGTTTTGGGGGCAGAATAGAGCTCATCCGGGGCTTCAAGGTGGGATACCTTTAGCCTAATCCCTTGGATATCTGGCCCACTGGGGTGAGTTTCCCATCTTATGTTCAGCCTGCTCCAAGGGGACTGACTGTCTCATTGAGCTCACACTCATCCTTTTCCCAGTAATCTTCCTTGGAAAGCATTTTTCAGAGCTGTCTGCACAGCCCGATTCCTTAGACTATAAACGATGGGGTTGAGGAGAGGAGTCACCACAGTATAGGTGACAGCAATAAGCTGATCCCGCTCCAGAGAATAGCTGGCCTTGGGCCTCAAGTACATAAAGGAGGCACAGCCATAGTGAACAATGACGACGGTGAGGTGGGAGGCACAGGTGGAGAAGGCTTTCTTCCGGCCCTCAGCAGAGGGGATCCTTAGGATGGCTGACAGGATGTAGGCATAGGAGATGGTGAGGAGAGAAAAGGATATCAGGAGGACCAGCAGACTGAGGATGAGGATCCCCAGCTCACTCAGACCCGTATCTCCACAGGCGAGGCTCAGCACTGGGGGCGTGTCACAAAAGAAGTGCTGGATTTCGTGGGAGCTACAAAATGGGAGGCGGAAAATGACTAGTGTCATCCCCAGCCCAAAGAGATACCCACCTAGAAAGGAGGTGACTACAAGCTGGGCACAGAGGGTAGGATGCATGCGGCTGACGTAATGCAATGGAGCACAGATGGCCACGTATCTGTCGAAGCCCATGACAGTCAGAAGGAAGCAGTTGGTACAGGCCCATGAGGCAGAGAAGAACATCTGGGTAGCACAGCCCACATAGGAGATAGCTTGATCCCCCATGACCAGGCCAGAGAGCATCCTGGGGATAATGCCCAGGGTATAGCAGGTTTCAGAGAAAGATAGATAAGAAAGGAAGAGGTACATGGGTATGTGCAGATGGCTATCCAGCCTAATAACTAAAATAATGAAGACATTGCTGGTCAGAGTGATGAGATAGAGGGAGAGGAATATGGCAAAGAGCAGGAGTTGCAGGTCCCCAAAACTGGAAAAGCCCAGGAAGACAAAGCCCCTCCAGGAGGTTGCATTACTTAGCCCCATTCTGAACGATGCCCCTCATGGATCTGTCGATTTCTTCCACCTTGTTGGTAGATGCCTAACCTTTGGAGAAGGCACGATGAAGTGGATTCTTTTTCCTCTGTGCCTGTTGTAACTTGAAAAGGAATTCTAGATTTAGATTTAGATTTCAGCCACACATGAGATATGTGTTACATTAGCTACCTGTGTAAGGACTCATTCTCACGTGCCTAGATGTGCATACACATATTTACAAATACACAAACATTCTTATGCACCATTTTTTTACAAAAGTACATAGATAACTACATATACTAACACATACATAATCCTATGTGCAGATGCAGATACCACAAAGCATCCCCCAAATTATGTACCTTTCTCACACTCAAAACCCCATCTTACATATCTACCATTAGTGAGCATATTCACAGGTATGTCAGGCATACATACACATTGAAATATGTATGGAAGTAGCAGCTAGAGATAGCTGTACATCATACACATAATGTCACATAAAAATACACACGCAAATGCATGTATATTGCCTGTAAAAACCTAGAGTCAGAGAGCTTGAGAGAGTGTATTTTATAGTACTGACAGCAGAGGTCAAGGGAGGTGACAGGACATTCCTGAAGTAACAAAGAGTAGGGACTAGAAAACAAGGGTTTCTTTGAAACCCTTTCAAAGACGAATCTAGCTAATTTCCCCCAGGTAACCCACCTCAGACACTCTGGAATACTCACTAACAGGAAACAGAATAAGTCTTAGCTTGCTCAATAATATTGCCTGTGTTATACAATCCCCACCCCCACTCATAATGTTTATCCTTTAAAAACTGCATAGGCAGAGGAAGACAGGGTTCCTTTATATGGGAGAATCATCGGTCAAAGGAGTTTGAGCCTTGGGATCTCTCGGCCATTAGGATCTTCTACCTCCCAAAGAGCTGCTTTGAACCAAGGCATAAGGGTGCTTAGGTAAGGGAGGCTTCTCCACTCACCTGAAAGGGCTTCCTCTAGGAAAGCAACTTTGGTTTCTCAGAAGACATACACTAGAATGCTGCCTAGCAGGCCTGCAAACAGCAGAAAGGCCTGGAGATCCATCTCAGGAATGTCCTTCTGAGCAAAAAGCCACCTTCCCAAATGATAGCAAGAAACCTGCTTCTACCCTCACCCTAGGTGTTGAATCATCTATTTCCATCAAAACAGCCCCTTTCTCTAAGGATTGCCCCATCCCAGTGGATGCAGTTTCAGGAAATATTACTAATTACACCTCTTGTCATTAGCTGGGACTATTCTTTGGGGGCAAAAGGAGAGGGGAGTGTAAACAAAGAGATGTTAGGATTGTGATTCGAAGTTTAGCTTTGTATCTTTAATGTACTACATAATTATTTGCACATGTTAGATCACTTGTAAAATTTACAACTTAATGAAATAGGGCTAATATTTACATTTTTAAAATGAGAAAACTGACCTAACCAAGTGTAAGTGGACAGTCTTCGATGACAGAATTCAGAATTATCCTTCAAAATCCACTGTGAGAAGCATAACAAAAGCAGGAATTCACCGTCACCTTACTGCTGTCTCAAGAACTTCAAGTATGAGTCCAATTTCAAATTTATTCTGAAAAACACCTTCATTTCCCCAAGTCTCAATCTTTGTGTCTTCCTGTCTACTTGTTTTAGAGACAGCTTTTTAGACACAAAAAGTTACCATATTTTTTATCATTTTTCTTTCCACAACAATACAATGTCTGTATACATTCTTTCCACAAATCAGATTGTCCTCAAACTTCAAAATTATAAAGTCCACATGGTAATTTAAGAATAACTTTATCTGACTCCCCACTTTTAAAGTACTTATGACTCTACTATACTGATGACGGGAATACTTAGAAGTACAATTTTCACTCATTAATCGATTCAATAGAGATGATCATTGTTAACACTAATTAAAAGACAATTTGCAAATTAACTTCATTACATAGGTTGTTCATTTAATGTTTACAGCACTTCATTCTTTTCTTATTTCCATTTCTCAGATAACAAAACTGAGATATGGAAAAGGAAGTAATTTTAAAAGAAAACATGGTCAGGACCAAGGCAGCCCAATAATTCAATTTCTGAAGTACGACACTATTTATTACTGGTATACAGCATTGATACAAGCCACCTCTATAAAAATCAAGATGTTGAAATTAGTGTAGCACTAGTATAGTTACTGATTTATAACTATTTTCTTTGCAATAATTTTTTAGTAGTTGCTGTATAACTATTTTCTTTGCAATGGTTTTAAGTCGTTGTAGGAATACCAGTATGTGCCTTTAACTTAATGTAATTTACATAAATTTAATATTGAACTAAGACCCAATTCTGTTGAATCTATTCTGTCTCTTAACAACCATATAAGACAGAGTAGAACTGTCCCATGGAATTACCAAGGCTATAGTTTTCTATAGGAAAACAGGATTGCCCCATCTGCTTCCTATAGAGAGCTGGTGTGTTTGAATCATCTGCCATTGGTTAGCATCTGAATGCTTCAACCACTGTGCCACCACAGTCCTCTGTAATATTGCAATACTTCCTATAAAAATACAGAAGATTTGCAATGATATATTCGCACTTTGTAGTGTCTTCGCTAGTATTCTCTGCTGTTATATCTAGGTTTTAATATCTATTGCAATGGCTACACAGAACTCACAGATGCTATTTATTCATGATTAAGATATTTATTTTATTTTATTATTTTTTAAATTATTCGTTTAAAAGATTAACTAAGGAAATTAATAGATTGTAATGTTCATCAGGACATGTTACAAAGTTCTTTCAGGCCTCTTAATAAATGCCCAAAGGGCATACTATTCCACCAAAAGCCTTTCAGGAAAGGTATTCAGCTCAAGCTCCATGAGTCCACAAACCCAGCTCCCTGAATTAAGTGCCCAGAGATACCCCACTTTAGTAAGTTCCAGTCTTAGCCCACTCATTTCTACCTCCCTGGCTCTGCAAGCCGAGCTCCTCCAATTAAATGAAGGGTTCAGAGGAACCCCACTCCACAAATCAGCCTTCTCTCCCAAAGCCCTCGGCTTTACTTGAGTAATTGATGATGATTTCTCTTCAAATTCACTACTTATTCTACTATATCAAAAACAAAAACCACTGTTGTTATTAGATGCCATTGTTGGGGCAGCTCTATCACATAGTGGTCATATGCAAAACACAATGAATCATTCGCAGTCCTGGGCCATCAGCAAATGTTTGGTGTGTTTGAGCCCAATGTTACAGCCACATTGTAATCAATGTCATTGAAGATGCTCCTCTTTTTCACAGACATTCCACTTTATCAAAGTACTGGTCTCTCTTGATAACATGTCCAAAATATGTAAGATGAACTTTCCTCACTCTGGGTGTACTTCTTTCAAGAAATAATTTTTCTTCTCTGGCAGCCCCCAGCACTTTCAATATTTGTTGCCAACACCATAATTCAACCCATCAGCTCTTTGGAGATTTTACTTATTGTCCAGTTTTCACATGTAATTGATGTGATTGTAAACAGCCTGGCTTGGGTAAGGCATAGCTTAATATTCAAAGTAACATCCTTGCTGTTCAACACAATTTGTTGTTTATTATGATGCAAACAATCAAATGTATATATTATGAATTTTTTATTTCTGGTGTTCGTTTCAGTTAAAAAAATTGTCACTCGCTTGTTTATGTTCTCATTCTGCTCCCTCCCTTTAATTCTCAGACCTATCAGTGGACACTATGAAGAAGAGGAGAGAGTGGAGTAACATATTCCAAAAATTGAAGGAAAATAACACACTCATGAATACTCTATCCAGCCAAATTATCTATCCAGATAGGTGGAGATGTAAGAGTCTTCTAGACAAGTAAAAACTCAAAGAATATGTTAAAAGAAACCCAGCCCTACAAAAGATTTTTGACAACCCAGTATGGACAGAAGAACAGCACTCACCAAGCACCAATTACAGACCACAACATAGAACAATTCCACCCAGAGGGCATCAAAAAGAAAACAGTTCCCAAGATAGCATTGGCTTAAGAGTGGAAAGAAGTCAGAATGAACCACACACACACACACAACACACTGATAAGAAAGGGACGTAGGAAAACACCCAACACAAATGATATAAGATGACATCACAGGGTCCACAGATGGAGTTCTTAACCCTGAATATCAAGTAACTGAACTCAGGCACTAAAAGGCTGAGGCTAGCAGACTGGTTTAGAAAACACAACCCATCAATCTGCTGCCTATAGGAGACACATCTCAAGATTACAGACAAAAATAGGCTGAGAAGCAATGGCTGGAGAAAAATATACCAAGCAAACAGCAATTTAAAAAAAGCAGGGATTGCAATCCTAATCTCAGATAAAATTGACCTCAGAGGGCAAACCATAAAAAGTGATAAGCAGGAACATTATATAATGCTCAAGGTAACTGTAGACAAAGAACCACTAAACATTTTAAACATATATTACTCAAATGAGAGACTGGCTGAATACATCAACCAACAGCTCCAAAAGATGAAAAGAGAAATCACGTCTCAACAATTATAACAGGTGACATCAATCCTCTGCCCTCTGAGAAAGATAGATCACAGGAAAAGAAACTCAACAAGTAGGTTACAGATCTAAAGACTACAATTCAACAAATTGACCTGATAGATAGTTATAGAACTAACTCTCCACCCAAATAAAAAAAAGATTTCACATTATTTTCAAGCTCACATAACACATATTAGAATAGAGACAGACCACATGATGGGATATAAGTCGAATCTATGGAGATTTAAGTACATTGATATCATACAGAACGCTCTCTCTGACCTCTGTTCTAAAGGCTGGAAATAAAAAAAAGAAGATGAAAAAATGGGAAAACAATTGGAGGAAGAATAACTCTCTATTGCAAAAGGAGTGTGTACTGGTATAGATCAGAGATGAAATTAGGAAATTTTGAGAAACCAACAAGCATGAGAACAAGACGTAACAAAACTTATGGGTCACA